CATCACAAGTTCGTGAGCGAATGTCAGCAGGTATTAGTGGTAAAAACCACTATTTTACTAGTATTTACTGGTGAAACCACTAGGTAGGGTTGATAGACCCCCACTCAAGTTACACCATTCGATGCGGAATGACGAGATCTATTCATCACAAGTGCTTAGAGATCCATCACAAGTCCTTGAGCGAATATCAGCAAGAAATACTCGAATCCGCTGCTAACTTCCACTACGTGGTTTCTGCTAACACAGATGCTGCACGACGGGTATCTACATCACCGATCCGAAGCATTGAGAATTATTCGTTTGAAAAGACTCGAGTTACACAGAAGATGATGCTGAATAACTTTCCAATTCGTCAACATGCATCGAGTACCACTTAGATTGTATGAATGAAACAGAAATCTATATATTCCAAATAAGTCACCAAGATTTAAGATTAGAGTTGTTGTTATCGTCCGAAATAGTGACTTCGTAAAAATTCTTCGGAGAGATTTCATGTAGAGAAACCGATAAGTTGAATTTAGAGATTTGAAAGAAAAACTCTGGATCTCATTCTTCGACACCATCAATTATTAATGACTATGTAACTGATTAAAAATGACATACGCCTTTTCCTTATAGAAGAAAGCTGACCAAAGTGCTAACAAAAATGATTCAGATTCATCATCAACATCGCGAACTACATCTGCCGCAGATGGCGATTATCACGATGCAAAATCTTCGAAAAAAAAGTCCCAAGGTAATCACTAATCGTATATTGAGTAATTTATAAAAGAATGTCCATGTCAATCTTGTATCTGAATTCTTGAAAACGAAGTTAAAAGAAATATTTCTTTAGACGATGAAAACAAGTGTATAGTGTACATTCCAGATATACCATTTAACATCAGAGACCTGAAGAAACTCGAGAAAACTGTTTGTCAACTCATCACAAAGAATACAAGTTCTCAAGGCGCCCAAGTTCAATGTTTTCCCGAGTTTGGTTTTGGTGTAATTCATGTTGTAGACAATAAGATAAAACAGCAACTTGTTGAACATGTTCAACAAATCAAATTAACGATAGAAGATAATGAAATAACGATTCCATTCAGCAATACTCTAGAAGTTGTTTCGTTCGTTGTGTTGGACAAGAGCAATCAACGTACAAGTAGTCGATTCCCAACACCAGAAGACATAAGCCGAAAATGCACCACTTATCTCAATGTAGAGGAACCACTATCGTGTGCTGTGCTAGATGCACAATTTCCCAACATTTATCGTCTCATTTATAAATTTTCAGATCAATTTATCAACAGTGAAACAAGAAAGCAATTTTTTATCGATCATGTATCAACTGAAATATATCTTTTCGCCGATTGTAGTTTCTTGGAGGATCTTTCAGTATCAATCACTGAAAGAGACCTAGAAACAGCAATCAAAAGGTCGATTCAGCCAAAAAGCGAATCATCAGCAAATCTTTACGCGCAAATAGATCAGTGCACACACAGCGCATGTGTTATTGTTACTGGCGAAGCTCGTAAATGGACAGCACAATCGTGTATTGATATTGATGGTAGACAAATATTGAGGAGGAGTTTTAACTATCACTTACTTATTGATCCAGTTTCAAAAAGTGACGTTGATCGTATTATCAAACATCAAGTATTTAAAGGAAAAGTGATAGATCATAAGTATGCTGACAAGAAACTTCTTGTAATTGTTAAAGATAAATATGTTTTTGGCAAATGCTTACGATTAAAGAAACTAGAGATTGATGGCCAAAGTTTTCGTATTAGCGAGAATGTTGAATCGCAAGAAATGGACGATTGCGAAATCAATGCTCAAACATGGTACAAGACAAAAATGATCAAAGTCAAATCAGACATCATGCAATTCCTAGACGATCCTCATCATTTCATTTTTAAGTGCCGATGGAATGCAAAGGCATGGCTCGAAGAGTTTGAAAATTCAGCATCTACACCGCATCATGATGCTTCGCGCTCCGACAAATCTTCGAAACCCGATCAAACACGTCATCTACTTCGAATGACTGTCATGCTCGACACTTTTGCTGCAGTGAAGAAGAAACGTTATTTTATCGACGATCAGGAAGTAAAGTTGAATCTGGATGATAGATTAACCACCATTATTTACAATCATCAATCCAAACTCGAACAATGCTCACAAATACCATACAAAAAAATTCAACATGATCGAACCAACATTCAAGTTCAGCAAGAGGACTGCCTTGTTGTGTATGAGAAACTAGTTGAGAAAGGTTACCGACCGGTGCTACTAAACATGGCTAATCAGACAACTCCTGGAGGTGGATATAAAAAAGGTGATGGCGCACAAGAAGAGAACATCTTCCGTCGATCCGACTACTTTCGCAGCCTAGATCTCGAATTAGATTCATATCATGATCAACGAGCTGAACGCTTTATCCGCACATCTGACTGTGAAAAAGAGCCTGTGGGTGATGAAAAGCGCATCTATCCAATGGATGAATTCGGTGCAATTTATACTTCAGGTCTCACCGTGTTTCGTCATTCAGAAGACAAAGGTTATGCTTACATGAAGAAACCATTGACAGGTGTTCGTGCCATTGCCATCGCTGCTTATCGAGTTCCTGAANNNNTCATGATCAACGAGCTGAACGCTTTATCCGCACATCTGACTGTGAAAAAGAGGCTGTGGGTGATGAAAAGCGCATCTATCCAATGGATGAATTCGGTGCAATTTATACTTCAGGTCTCACCGTGTTTCGTCATTCAGAAGACAAAGGTTATGCTTACATGAAGAAACCATTGACAGGTGTTCGTGCCATTGCCATCGCTGCTTATCGAGTTCCTGAACTAGATGACAATCGATTAGCGCCAGAAGCAGCTGTGGGTATGCGAAAAAAGATTGAAACTATTTTTTCGATCGCCCATCGTCATGGTCATGATTCACTTGTTCTGTCTGCTTTTGGTTGTGGTGCATTCAAAAATCCACCTGAACATGTGGCCCAATTGTTTCTATCAGTTATTGAACAGTATGCAGGCTTCTTCAAACTAGTTGTGTTCGCGATCATCGACGATCACAATACGGGTGGTCAATTAAACCGAGAAGGCAACTTCAAACCATTTGAAAAGTTGGATGGCAAATCAGTTAAGCGTACCAAACTAGCAGGTATTCCAAATACAATCATCGGACCATATCGACTTCTCTCGGATGGATTGACTGTGAGTGATGTTTGCATATTCGATTCACCACCATGTAAATTCGCAGCTATGTGTAATGATCGTAATCCAGATCATTTGCGTAGTTTTTCTCACCCACCATTATGCGCCCTGGCATTTGACAACAATCAATGTGACAAATCATCTGATAGAGTTCATATGCATTCGTTTATTCATCCCAGACAATGTCCAGATGGCGGTGAATGTGCTCTGATTGATAACAAAAAGCACTGCCAAGAATTCGAACATCCATCATACTGTCGAAAAAAAAGTGATTGCAATAGCATGGACCCAGTTCATCTACGAGAATATCGTCATTTACCGCTTTGTCCAGAAGCACACAAATGTAAAGATTTTCTAAAGAACATCAGAGTTCATTGTGATCAGTATCGTCATTGCAAACCGGGATGTCCACAGGGAAATAGATGCAACAAGTTTCATGACCAGCAACATCTTAATGAATGGCAACATCCATTTCCTTCACCATGTCCATTTACTCCATTTCACTGTCGATTCTACAACGATTTCTTCCAACGAACCAAACAGAATAGTTCGATTCTTTTCGATGATGAACCGCATTTCGGTAGATATTCACATGTGTGTTGGTATGGAGGCAACTGCACAGTTAAAACTGCAGAACATACAAGAAACTACATTCACATAGATCGTCAGAGTTGTTCGTTTGGTGATGAATGTCAAAAAATAAAACAAGAAGATCATTTAAACACATACAAACATCGAAACGTTCCTGATATACGACCTCTGTGCAGACATGGCAATCTGTGTATCTCTCAAACTGATCAAAGTCATAATATTTGCTTTCGTCATTCTGCTTCACTTGAAGATATGAGTGTGATTGGCTGCCGCAATACGAATGCGGATATCAACTTCGTTCAGAACCAAAGAGACACTGTTGAAAGTATTCTTAAATGTCTCAAAAGTTCATTGCCTTCATTGGCACGTCTTCCGGATGATATTCTGAAATGGTTTCGTGCAGTTCAACCTGTTTATCGGTGTAGTCAGAATATGTTTGAACTGTTTGTTCTCCAACAAAAAGTGATGAGTCAATATTATATGAAAAAATTGAAAGAACCAGAATTTGTGGCCGATTTGGTTCTTCAACATGATCAAATTCGTCGCATCGAAGCTTTACGAAAAAGCTCAGTAAAAGAAGATTATAAACAGTATATCGTGATTATGGTGGAGGAGGAGTATGTGAGCTTGTCTAGGAATTCATTCTCATCAAATCAGTTCNGAGTCAATATTATATGAAAAAATTGAAAGAACCAGAATTTGTGGCCGATTTGGTTCTTCAACATGATCAAGTTCGTCGCATCGAAGCTTTACGAAAAAGCTCAGTAAAAGAAGATTATAAACAGTATATCGTGATTATGGTGGAGGAGGAGTATGTGAGCTTGTCTAGGAATTCATTCTCATCAAATCAGTTCATCGATAATCGGCGAAAAAGAGAGAAAGACCTTCAGCGACCAATTTCTAAACAAGACATCGATATAATTAAAAAAACAACGAGATCCATGGCGAAAAGAGCTTTTGATTGTGACTCTTCGGGCAACAGCAAATCCTCTAAACAAGAAAAAACAATTTTCAGCATCCTCGGACCACACACAAGACATAACTATGGAGATATATTTATTGTTTTCAAACGAGAAATCCTTCACCACCCGGATTCAAGTTTCTCCATTCAAAGTGCAGAATCATTCCACGACGATGAAACATATCGTCGTTGCCCTTGGCTTGGTCGTGATCCACGCTTAACTCAAGACAGAACTCAATTATATAACAACTGTAAACTACATGTTTCTGTTCCTAACTATGAAGCAACAGCTACTCTAGAATTAGTAGCTACTGTTAGTCAATACTTACACAAGGACGGCAGGAGTGTTAATCTCGACACCGTTTTGCGCGAATGGCCTCGAATGCCTGGATACAAAGGTATCGAAACTAACTTGCCTGGACTCATTCCAATCAGCTATATCGATCAGGTTTATATACCAGACAATATATACCATTTGTTAGACCAAGATACACGTGAAATTATTGACAATACTCTCAGAGGTCGTATCACTACCATTCCGAGGAAAGGTACTAGCTCAGCAGTGTCCACCAGTAGCCAAGATTTCGTCAATGACAGACTAAACAAACAGTTCAGTCAACAAGATGAAGATTCCATTGCAAGACCTCTTCGAGGTTTTATTTTTATCCTGTCACCATCCAACTTTGAGACACACACGCTGTTACCTCTTACAATATCACAAGCATTTGCTCAGTATCGCTCTGATCACACACAAACATCAAGAGACAATACGACGATCATCTATTGGCAAGCCATGGGTGGAGATATGATGCTAACACTATCGAGTGACAAAGATGAACCCGATAAAAATCGAATGAGTTCACGTTCTCTCATTTGTTATCTTGCTAGAACGCCGGATACCAACAAGGACGAATATCGTGAAGAAGCTTCGTATTNAAAAAAAAGTGATTGTAATAACATGGACCCAGTTCATCTACGAGAATATCGTCATTTACCGCTTTGGCCAGAAGCACACAAATGTAAAGATTTTCTAAAGAACATCAGAGTTCATTGTGATCAGTATCGTCATTGCAAACCGGGATGTCCACAGGGAAACAGATGCAACAAGTTTCATGACAAACAACATCTTGATGAATGTTACCATCCGTTTCTTCCACCATGTCCATTCACTCCATTTCACTGTCGATTCTACAACGATTTCTTCCAAGAAAACAAAAAGAGCAGCTCGACCTTTTTCGACGACCACCAGCATTTGCGTCAATTTTCACATGTGTGTTGGTATGGAAGTAACTGCACAGACCAAACTGGGGAACATATAAAATACTTCATTCACATAGATCGTCAGAGTTGTTCGTTTGGTGATAAATGTGAAAGAATGAAACAAGAGGATCATTTAAACACATACAAACATCGAAACATTTCTGATATACGACTTCTGTGCAAACATGGCAAACGGTGTACCTCTCAAACTGATCAAAGTCATAATACTCGCTTTCGTCATTCTGCTTCACCTGAAGATGTGGACGCGATTGACTGCCGCAATACGAATGCGGATATCAACTTCGTTCAGAACCAAAGAGACACTGTTGAAAGTATTCTTAAATGTCTCAAAAGTTCATTACCTTCATTGGCACGTCTTCCGGATGATATTATGAAATGGTTTCGTGCAGTTCAACCTGTTTATCGGTGTAGTCAGAACATGTTTGAACTGTTTGTTCTCCAACAAAAAGTTATGAGTGAATATTATATGAAAAAATCGAAAGAACCAGAATTTGTGGCCGATTTGATTCTTCAACATGATCAAATTCGTCGCATCGAAGCTTTACGAAAAAGCTCAGTAAAAGAAGCTGTTAAACAGTATATCGTGGTTATGGTTGACGAGGAGTATAAATGTTTATCTAGGAAGTCGGTCTCATCAAACCAATTCATGGATGTTCGGAGAGAAAGGGAAGAAGATCTGCGGCGATCGATTTCTTTTCAGAATATCACTGTCATAAAAGACATAACAAGATCCATGGCGAAAAGAACTTTTGATTGTGACTCTTCGACCAACAGCAAATCCTTTAATCAAGGAAAATCAATTTTCAGCATCCTCGGACCACACACAAGACATAAATATGGAGATATATTTATTGTTTTCAAACGAGAAATCCTTCACCACCCGGATTCAAGTTTCTCCATTCAAAGTGCAGAATCATTCCACGACGATGAAACATATCGTCGCCGTTCGTGGCTTGGTCCTGATCCACACTCAACTGAAGACAGAACTCAACAATATAACAAATCCAAGCTACATGTTTCTGTTCCAGGCTATGAATCAGCAGCTACTCTAGAATTAGTAGCTACTGTTAGTCAATACTTACACAAGGACGGCAGGAGTGTTAATCTCGACACCGTTTTGCGCGAATGGCCTCGAATGCCTGGATACAAAGGCATCGAAACTAACTTGCCTGGACTCATTCCAATCAGCTACATCGATCAGGTTTATATACCAGATAATATATACCATTCGTTAGACCAAGATACACGTGAAATTATTGACAATACTCTCAGAGGTCGTATCACTACCATTCCGAGGAAAGGTACTATCTCAGCAGTGTCAACCACTGGCCAAGATTTCGTCAATGACAGACTAAACAAACAGTTCAGTCAACAAGATGAAGATTCCATTGCAAGACCTCTTCGAGGTTTTATTTTTACCCTGTCACCATCCAACTTCGAGACACACACGCTGTTACCTCTTACAATATCACAAGCATTTGCTCAGTATCGCTCTGATCGCACACAATCGTCACGAGACAATACGACGATCATCTATTGGCAAGCCATGGGTGGAGATATGATGCTAACACTATCGAGTGACAAAGATGAATCCGATAAAAATCGAACAAGTTCACGTTCTCTCATTTGTTATCTTGCTAGAACGCCGGATACCAACAAGGACGAATATCGTGAAGAAGTTTCGTACTTGAACAGTGGTTCTCCATCTGAACATGAAACACGCGTAAGCAAAGGTGCATATGCAGCTGGTTCGAAAACATTTTACATTGGATGCAATACTGATGATTTTATGACATTTTGTTTGAAAATTCAACGTTCGATTGGTAAAATCACTCTTTCTCATGCTGGACCAAATTCATTGTATAACAACTCGACAATTTGTTTTACTTTTGGTAAAAGTGAACTTGACTTAGTTGCATTAGAATTCATTCGATTGAGTGCTGGTGAATATGCAGTACCAATTCGGAATGTGATGATTTGTTTTGAGGAACAGGCTGATCTTCATCCAAAACTCGATACAAATGCAAGAAACGATTTGAACGTGAATAATGATCCGTCTGCTAGTAAACCTATAAAAATACGACCAAAACCGAATGATCCGTCGTCACCATCTTCATCAAGTTCTAGACATCCAAATACACCTTTAACTCAAACAGCAAGCTCCTTTAGCAGTAGCAGTGTCTCATCTCTAATTCCATGTCGAGACAATGTCAATTGTCTTCTTCAATTATCAAATGAAAAAGATCACAATTCGAAATATTCACATTCATGTCGATTCTCGGAACTGTGTAGAGATCGAGAGTCAAACTTAACACATGAACCACATCAAGTATCAAAATGCAATGATGGAAAGAACTGTAAAGACCTTAGTGATCCGTTTCATCGAGCGAATTACCGTCATACAGGATATCCTGACTATCTCATTCCTTGTCGAGATCAGCAAAGATGTCATGATAAAACGGCGGAACATCGAATAAGATATTCACATGGAGAACCAGTCTTCCGAACGACTAGTACAGCAACTAGCAGAGGTAAGTAATGAAGTCTTGAGAGACACTTCTGATCATTTTACTTAGGAACAACATCTGGTGGTCTTACCCCTTGCAAACATGGTTCAAAATGTCGAGACATGAATGATCAGAAGCACTGTCAAAAGTATTCTCATCCCAAACCTACATCATCGTCCAACAATCCGAGTTTCACCACGAGGACAGACGACAATGGTAAATGGTGTTAATAAAAGTGAAAAATTCAATTTTTTCTTGAGAAAATAAAAGTGAAGTGATTTATAAACTTGATTTTTATTTTTACTAAAACCCATGTTGAAATGCTACGACTGATTTTCTTTTGATATTCATATTAATTTCTACTTTATTTTCAGATAGCTCATGTTGAGGGTGAGCGCTGAACCCGACAGATATGAGTTTTCATGTTTCAGTGAGATTGTTATTGACGATGTGCCGCTCTATCTTGGAAATAAGATAAGATTGATGATATCACTTTGTACGAAGCCACAGGTGACCAAGCCAAATTGTTTCATTGCCTACTCTTCAGAGATGAAAGCTTTGTCTTGGAGTTCTCAGTTCTGATAGGCAACTATGAAACTCGAATAGATTCTTTCTTTTCAGATTGAAATATGTCTTCGTATGCATCAGATCAATGTTCAATATGTAGAACTTCATTAAATTCGAAAGAATTCGATGAAATAACAACTTCATGTGGACATACATTTCATCGTGAATGTGCACAAAAACGTTTAGATCGATATAACAAAACAGATTGTCAAGTTTGTCGTCAAGATCGTGCTCTTGGAGATGCTTTATCCAGACAAAAAATCACACCACCCGAAACTGTAAGTTACTCGCATCTTGTTGAGGGTGAGGGTGAGAGTGCGGCTGTTTTTCTAGAAAAAATGTTTGTCACGCATCATTGCTACTTTAATTCATTCGTTTCCTTCATCCGAATGTGTATTTTAAAATATTTTTAGAGGAGAAGAGAACAAAGTCCTGTTCCCTCCGCTCGCCCAAATGACCGTGACAACGACAACTGGTCCTGTAGAAAATGTCACAAGTTCAACGAGATCTCCTCAAAACGTTGTTATTCATGTGGTACATATAAAGATGATCGCGAGTCTTCTCATTCGCAGTCTACATTTAGAAACAACGGTAAGTTTCTTTCGAGGCGACGAGCTTCTTTTTTATTCCATAATTATGTTTTAGAGGACCATAACAACTTGACAAGGGACAATCGTGATTTTCGTACATCTCTTCGGCCATCCTCCCCTCCAAGAACACAAAGCAAAGAAATTGTTTATGTTGTTAATTTGCCATCAGACATCAAAGATGATTTTGATTTAACTAATTTGGTCCGGACTCGCATGGAAAATAGTCTCCAAATTCCTATTCGTGATATCAAATGTTATTGTAAACTTGGTATAGGTACTATTCAAGTGGCTGATAGACAAACAAAGAATCGTCTTGTTCAATCGATTCAAGAAATAACATTGAATGTGGGAGGAAAATCAAATACGATTGAATTTGTTGAAACATTAGAATTGACTTCATTTGTTGTATTGGAAATGAACAAAGATTTGTCATATCCAAGTACAAAAGAGATTAATGTTCGTTGGAAAGATCTCTATGGANCTAGACAAGAAGCGTTCTACTACTTCGAGCTCAGTCGAAGTCGATGACGCGCCTGCCCAAACGAATTGAGTACCTTTTGTATATTGACTGCTAGCATTTTCTTTAATGCCTCGCCAGACGCGTCGTTTTTTCGAGGGTAATTTGTTTAAAGCCGTATGAAAAAGTTTCAGATACAGAAACCACGGTTTTATCTTCTCTACTGCATTTTTTCGCAACGCTTTATTCATTTTATAGTAAAATTCTGTGTCCATCGTGTATAGATATATAGAAGCTGATTCATCTTGAGAAAGCTTGTTTGCTGGTGATTGACATGCAAGTTTGCCGTAGCGGCATAGGCAAGCACGTTATTGACAATATGGGATACTGGAATCACGGCTTCGTCCAACGAAACGAGTTGACAGAGAAGATAATCATCAATAGTCTGCTTTGTGTTGAAGGATTCGAAGTGAGAGAATCGGGCAGTCATTCAGCCTGTTTGGTAATACTTTTTTTAATCTTTTCTAAAGTTGAATTTGTGACCACTAACACTCTGAATCAAAAATGATTTTCATTTTAAACGAAAGTTTTGCAATAAGTTGGTAAAAACTTTCGTTTTATTGATATGTGATAAGATTTTATGAAGTAAGAAAATGTTCTGTTAGTGTATGAGATTTCTGCGACTGTCACGCCGTCTATCATTTTATGATACACATTGTTTATTCCTTATCAATGGTTAATCTTTTCTTTTACAAAACGTTTTCTTGATGAAAGATTCTAACAAGTATGAATTATTCTCTTCCTTACGTTATTCGTACTTCGATTACTGAAAAATAATACACAGAAACGTAAACAGTTGTGCTCTCTACAAGATTTGACTCAAGATTTTTGATACTGATAAACATGATTGCTAAGATCTCATAGACGAGCAGTGGTCGTTGTTCTGAGTTGAGCTGTAAACTTCTTGCTCTATTTGAGTTGAAGAGCGACAAGTGTTTCGTTTTTACGTCTCTTTTTAAGGATTGTTATGGTGTTGATAAACTTTCATTTCTATTTCACTCAAACGATTGTTTTTTACCATCAATAATCAGCTTTCAAAATGTATCTGTCTTATCTAAAGTTGCTTTTGAATGATAAATTACTCCTGGTCACTTCTGATGACAATTCCTATCGCCATATAACACTATTAGCAATCCTTTTTTCATTGAAATCGCGCTTAGTTTATGGTGCGTAGATGATGTGACTGAAGAACTTGTCCATTTCACGCAAATTCTCCATACTTTCTACCGTATAAATAAATGTGAAGAGCAAAAATGTGCATACATTATCGACATGCACTCTTCTTACAAAATATTAATTTTAAAAACAATTGGGACGATATTAGACAGTCTCGTACAGCTCCGTAGAACATGCGAATACATGAAGTTTTGAAATTTTACGTTGAACCATTTAGAAACACATCGGTCGATACTCTCATTTTTGCGATCACTACCTATGTGATTAGAAGAAATGAAGCATGAAGGTAATGACAAAATGCATGGAAATGTCTGCATTTCATAAATACATGTTTGTGCCGATAGTGTCAAGCTTTTATTCTATTTGATTCTCCTCAAAATCGTATCAATTCGATACAAAGTGAGCGTTAACATATGTGTACATTGGATAAGGAGAGTAAGTGCAAAAGAAAAGAATCACAACATTCAACATAGTCTAGTAACGTCGCGTAGTAATAAGGAAAGTTTAATCAAATACACACCTATTCTGACGATTATGATCATTCTTGAAATGTCTTTCGTAGTCATTCGAATCCACCATTCGCTACGTACAATGATCGCGAAGATCACAGTCACATAGTGATCAGAATATTCGATGTGTGTCTGATGATCAACTTATTTCTAAATACAATGATGTCCATGATTCGCGTAGTTATGTATAAAACAATATTCCATATATCGAACTCAAACATCGTTGTTATGGTGATCATCCATCGTTGATACAAGAACAGCAAACGCTGTTTCAATATAAACAAAAGCACAATCAAAACATTTCGTTTGATAAACTTAAGAAAACAGAGTCAATAGTTCTTGGAAATATTCATGATCACTTGCTCAAAGACGATGTCACACATATAAGACATGTTCTTTCTGAATTGATCTTTGAAATAGGCATCCTTGCTTGTTTATTCTTAGCAAAAACAAACATCTAAGTTGGAAATGTGTGTCTTCACTCGAAGCTTCACCCACGATGACTTTCGCCGAAAAATTTCAAAGCTCTTATCTTATATCGAAACACTTCAGTCAACAGTAGAATTGGTTGCATATACGTGTATGAAAGAAAAAGAAAATAGTTAACGTCTTTTTATCTTTTTTCCAAGGTATATAAGTTAATGAAAGTAAAGGACAAACCAACATTTATTATTATTTTTATCTCACCAAGAGCAGGTAACTGAAAGCAATATAGACATACGACACAGGAAGATTGCGATGTTGTTGTGCGAGAATATAGGTGAAGTTTTCGGAGTTCGTTTAAGTTTTGAGTTAGTAAGTTTAAGGCGCGTTAATAGATTATTGCATAGGAGTGTTTCTGATGGTTTTAAAGGAAGGTTACTCTTGAAAGCGATACGATATTGAATTGAAAAATTATGTATTGAAGTCGAGAAGTAACAGGATTTCATCGTTGTTCCCCTTATGTAAATACTTACCGTAAATGAATGATATTGGATATCCAACTTGAATAATTGTATCCTTACTTTGCCTGTCTGTATCATAGTTGAGTCAAAACGAAAATATTCTATATTTTAGATAATACAATGGATGAGTGTTTTATATGTGAATGTTCGTTGTATGATGGAGGTGCAACGATAACCAGCCCATGTGGCCATACATTTCATCGTCAGTGTGTTGCAGATCGATTGACCAAAAAGAACAAGAGAGATTGTAAGAAGTGTGGAAAACACTGGGATGTGAAAGCTACTCTTGCCGATGAAGTAAGCATTTTAACGAAAAAAGTCTAATTATTCCAATAAAAGTAGGGAAAAACGATTGTTTGTGTAAATTCAGAAACTTTTGTTATTTTATCTCTATTAGCATACGTGGTAAGATATCTTATTCATCGTTCTCTAAAACTGTAGTCCTTTCTAAGACGTCTATCCATATAACACTTACATAGTGTATACGTACACATCGTCTATCTCCGACTGCGAGAAATATTGTAGAAATATTAAGAGTTTTCACTCAAAAGAAGTTGACAACCTGACGATTACGATTTTTAGAACGGAAATGGCGGATCTACTGCTGCAGCAGTTTCAGATAACAACAATTATACCGGTGGTGACGGTAATGCAAAAGAATCTTCTAAAGCAAAAAGTGGATCTACTCGGAAGAGTTCCCGTTCGTCTTCATCGTCATCAAGTGGACAAACATCAACAACAGGGACAGCGTCTTACAAAGGCGGGAATGGAGGTGATGCAAAATCAACGGAGAAAGGCTCGACAGGTAAATGCAAATAATATACTGAGTCATGTATGAAATTATGTGAATAATAACATCAACTATGAGCTTTGCAAATGCAATAAAGAGAAATAATCATTTAGATCGCCGAAGCAAATATCCAGTATACATTCCAGAAATACCATTTACTACCGAAGATACACAGGAATTTGAAAAAACCGTTTCTGAAGGTATTCGTTCGGATGCAGAAGGAAAGGTGGACGATATTAAATTCTTTCCGAACTTTGGTTTTGGTATTGTTTATGTGACGAGTGAAGCAATGAAACGTAACCTTGTTGAAAAAGTGCGAAAGGTCAAATTATCGATCGGAGACGCTGAAATAACGATTTCGTTCAGCGATACTCTAGAAGTTATCTCGTACGTCGTATTAAATAAGGACGATCATCGTACAAGTACTCGATTGCCAACACCAGAAGAAATAAGTAAAAAATGGGCCACTCATCTGAAGGTAGACGAACCGCTATCGTGTGTTGTATTGGATGCACAATTCCCGAATATTTATCGTCTTACTTCTGAATTTTCGAATCGATTCTTAGACAGTGCTGTTAAAAAGAAATTTGCTATCGATGACATATCAGCTCAAACGTATATTTTCGCTGATTGCAGTCTTTTAGAAGGTCTGACAAAATCGACGACCGAAAAAACTCTAGAAGAAGCGATCAAAGAATCTCTTCAAGACGATAACATTTCACCATCATGTCTCTATACGCAAGTAAGTCGACAGACACACAATGCATGTGTTATTGTCACTGATGAAGCTCGCAAATGGACAGCACAATCGTGTATTGATATTGATAGTCGACAAATATCGAGGAGGAGTTTTAACTATCACTTACTTATTGAACCGGTTTCGAAAACTGACGTTGATCGTATTATCAATCATCAAGTGTTTAATGGAAAAGTGATAAATCATAAGTGTGCTGATAAGAAACTTCTTGTAATTATTGAAGATAAATATGTTTTTGGCAAATGCTTACGATTAAAGAAACTAGAGATTAATGGCAAACGTTTTCGTATTAGCGAGAATGTTGCATCGCAAGAAATGGACGATTGCGAAATCAATGCTCAAACATGGTACAAAACCAAAATGGCCGAAGTCAAACCGGACATTATGCAATTCCTAGACGATCCTGATCATTTCATTTTTAAGTGCCGATGGAATGAAAAAGCATGGCTCGAAGAGTTTCAAAATTCAGCATCTACACCGCATCATGGTGACCGCGATCGCGGTGCTTCACGCTCTGAAAAGTCTGCGAAACCCGATCAAACACGTCATCTACTTCGAATGACTGTCATGCTCGATACTTTTGCTGCCGTGAAGAAGAAACATTATTTAGTCGGTGATAAAAAAGTGACGTTGAATCTGGATGATAAATTAACCACCATTATTTACAATCATCAATCCAAACTCGAAAAATGCTCAAAAATACCATACGAAAAGATTCAACATGATCGAACCAACATTCGGGTACAGGAAGAGGACTGTCTTGTAGTATATGAACAGCTAGTTAAAGATGGTTACCGTCCCGTACTGTTAAACATGGCTAATCAAACAACTCCTGGAGGTGGATATAAAAAAGGTGATGGCGCACAAGAAGAGAACATCTTCCGTCGTTCCGATTACTTTCGCAGCCTAGATCTCGAATTAGACTCATATCATGATCAACGAGCTGAACGCTTTATCTGCACATCTGACTGTGAAGAAGAGCCTGTGGGTGATGAAAAGCGCATCTATCCAATGGATGAATTCGATGCAATTTATACTTCAGGTCTCACCGTGTTTCGTCATTCAGAAGACCGAGGTTATGCTTACATGAACAAACCATTGACAGATGTTTGTGCCATTGCCATCGCTGCTTATCGAGTTCCCGAACTAGATGACAATCGATTAGCACCAGAAGCAGCTGTAGGCATGCGAAAAAAGATTGAAACTATTTTTTCGATTGCCTATCGTTATGGTCATGATTCACTTGTTCTGTCTGCTTTTGGTTGTGGTGCATTCAAAAATCCACCTGAACATGTGGCACAACTGTTTCTATCAGTTATTGAACAGTACGCAGGCTTCTTCAAACTAGTTGTGTTCGCGATCATCGACGATCACAATACGGGTGGTCAATTAAACCGAGAAGGCAACTTTAAGCCATTTGAAAAGTTGGATGGCAAATCAGTTAAGTTTGCTAAACTGGCGAGTATTCCAAATACAATCATCGGTCCATATCGACTCCTCTCGGATGGATCGACTGTGAGTGATGTTTGTATATTCGATTCAGCGCCATGTAAATTCGCAGCTATGTGTAATGACCGTAATCCAGATCATTTGCGTAATTTTTCTCACCCACCATTATGTGCCATGGCTTTTGACAAGAATCAATGTGACAAATCATCTGATAGAGTTCATATGTACTCATTTATTCATCCTAGAAAATGTCTAGATGGCGGTGAATGTACTCTGATTGATAACAAAAAGCACTGCCAAGAATTCGAACATCCACCATTTTGTTCGAAAGAAGGTTACTGTACCAATATGGAGGCAGTTCATCTACGAGAATATCGTCATTTACCACTTTGTCCAGAAGCACACAAATGTAAAGATTTTCTAAAGAACATCAAAGTTCATTGTGATCAATATCGTCATTGTAAACCGGGATGTCCATATGGAAATAGATGCAACAAGTATCATGACAAACAACATCTTAATGAATGTCACCATCCGTTTCTTCCACCATGTCCATTCACTCCATTTCACTGTCGATCCTACAACGATTTCTTTCGAGAAAACAAAAAGAACAGCTCGACCTTTTTCGACGACGACCAGCATTTGCGTCAATTTTCACATGTGTGTTGGTATGGAAACAACTGTAAAGAGCAAACTGAGAAACATATAAAATACTTCATTCACATAGATCGTCAGAGTTGTTCGTTCGGTGATAAATGTGAAAGAATGAAACAAGAGGATCATTTAAACACATTTACGCATCGAAACATTCCTGATATACGACCTCTATGCAAACATGACAAACGGTGTACCTCTCAAACTGATCAAAGTCATAATACTCGCTTTCGTCATTCTGCTTCACCTGAAGATATGGACGCGATTGGCTGCCGCAATACGAATGTGGATATCAACTTCGTTCAAAATCAAAGAAATATTACTGACAACATCAATAAATGTCTTCGAAATGCGTTGCCTTCGCCAAGCCGTTTTCCTGAAGATATTCTTCGATGGTTTTGTGTAGTTCAACCTGTTTATCGGTGTAGTCAGATCATGTTTGAACTGTTTGTTCTTCAACAGAAAGTTATGAGTCAATATTATACGAAAAAATTGAAAGAGCCAGAATTCGTGGCCGATTTAGTTCTTCAACATGATCAAATCCGTTGTATAGAAGCTCGAGGGAAAAGATCAGTGAAGGAAGATGTTAAGCAGTATATCACGATTATGGTTGAAGAGGAGTATGTGAGCTTGTCTAGGGGTTCATTCTCATCAAATCAACACACCGATAATCGACGAAAAAAAGAGGAAGACCTTCAGCAGTCAATTTCTCAACAAGACATCGATATAATTAAAAAAACAACGAGATCTATGGCGAAAAGAGCTTTTGAATGTAGCTCTTTTGTTATCAGCAAATCTACATCAAGCAAATCCTTTGACAAAGAAAAGACAATTTGCGGCATTCTCGGACCACACTTGGGACATGACCATGGAGATATATTTATTATTTTCAAGCGAGAAATTCTACATCATCCTGATTCCAGTTTCTCTATTCAAAGTGCAGCATCATTCCACGACGATGAGACATATCGTCGCTGCCCTTGGCTTGGTCGTGATCCACACTCAACTGAACACAGAACTCAATTATATAATAACTGTAAACTACATGTTTCTGTTCCAGGCTATGAATCAACAGCTACCCTAGAATTAGTAGCTACTGTTAGTCAATACTTACACAAGGACGGCAGGAGTGTTAATCTTGACACCGTTCTGCGTGAATGGCCTCGAATGCCTGGATACAAAGGTATCGAAGCTAACTTGCCTGGACTCATTCCAATCAGCTATATCGATCAAGTTTATATGCCAGACAATATGTACGATTCGCTAGACCAAGATGCACGTGGAGTCATTGATAATACTCTCAAAGGTCGTATCACTACCATTCCGAGAAAAGGTACTAGCTCAGGAGTATCAACCAGTAGCCAAGATTTCATCAATGATAGACTAAACAAACAGTTCAGTCAACAAGATGAAGATTCTATTGCAAGACCTCTTCGAGGTTTTAGTCTCACACTTCCACCATCAAACTTTAACACACATACACTGTTACCTCTTACAATATCACAAGCATTTGCTCAGTATCGCACTGATCGCACACAATCGTCGCGAGACAATACGACGATCATCTATTGGCAAGCCATGTGTGGAGATATGATGTTAACACTATCGAGTGACAAAGACGAGTTCGATAAAGGTCGAACGAGTTCACGTTCTCTCATTTGTTATCTTGCTAGAATGCCGGCTACCAACGAGGTCGAATATCGTGAAGAAGCTTCGTATTTGAACAGTGGCTATCCTTCTGAACATGAAACATACGTTCATAAAGAAGCATATGCAGCTGGTTCAAATACATTTTACATTGGGTGCAATACTGACGATTTTATGACATTTTGCTTGAAAATTCAACGTTCGATCGGTAAAATCACTCTTTCTCATGCTGGACCAAATTCACTGTACAACAATTCGACAATTAGCTTTACTTTTGGTAAGACTGAACTTGACTTAGTTGCATTGGAATTCATTCGACTGAGTGCTGGTGAATGTGCAGTACCAATTCGGAATGTGATGATTTGTTTTGAGGAACAGGCTGATCTTCATCCAAAAGTTGACACGAATATGGGAAAAGATTCGCAGTTGAATGACGAGAGATCTTGTAATAACCGTGCTAGACTGCAACCGAAGCAAAGTGAACCCTCGTCACCGTCTTCTCCGAGTGTGAAAGCTCAGCATGGAGTTGGATTTTCTAAGCAAGCACAAAGCTCATCAGTGAATAGTAATCCTGCATCTCTTATTCCATGTCGGGAAAATGTCAATTGTCTTCTTCAATTATCCAATGAAAAAGAACACAATTCGAAATTTTCTCACCCATGTCGATTTTCTGAACTGTGTCGAAATCGAGAGGCACACTTAACACACGAACCACATCGGGTACCGACATGTGTTTCGGATAAGAATTGTTCACTTCTTACTAGTGCGTATCATCGAGCGGATCATCGTCATACAGGCTTACCTGATTATCTCATTCCATGTCGCCACCAACAGAAATGCCATGATAACACGGTGGAACATCGAATAAAGTATTCACATGGAGAACAAGTTTATGAATTCTCCAGCTTAGGAGCTGGAAGAGGTAAGTAAAAGAGATTACAAAGAGATATGTATGACTATTTCACTCAATATCAGATTCTACTGATATAATTCCTTGCAAATGGGGTTCAAAATGTCGAGACACGGATAATCAGCAGCACTGTAGGAAATATTCTCATCCCAAGCCTGTATCATCACCATCAAACAGCTCGAGTGTTGCCACAAGAAAATTTAAGTAATCAAACCTCTTTACAAAAATGAAAAAATATCAATCGAGCGATTCTCAAACTCGATTGCTTATTGTTCTAAATAAAAACTACATCGAAATGATGCCGTTGATTTTTTTTCGAGTTTCTTCAATAAAATAGAAAAATCAAACAATAGACAGCGTGCATCTTACATGAAGCTTTATCGAAATAAATAAAATAGTACAATTTGAGGTGAGTGAGAGCCCCCGCACCACCACTCGATTACAACACAATGAAAAACCAATCAGTAGCGAACCTTTTCTTCTATGAATTTCTCGCGCGACGAAAGCGCAAAAGTGGATTGAATGTTCAAAATTCACTTTTGTTGTTAGTTTATGGTTATGACGTCGTAAAGCATTGTGTTTGATTATAATTTGTCAATGATCCAACCAGCAATCCATTCGATTGTCAGTTATTATCCGAGTCCAGATAAAAATAACTTGATTGTGATATGGTCGGATTTGATAATCCGAAGTGAATTTCCTCGGTTGATCGATTTTTGGACGCAATTTTTTCTCCGAACAATATTCGTTCGTTTCCTCCAACGATAGTTCACGAATTGTATCGACTATCGAATGATGATTGGATGTTTTCTGATTATCGAGAAAATGAGCATACATTTGATCAGGCGTTAAATTTGAGAAACACTAGAAAGTCCAGTTTTGAACAGGATTTAATTGTGATTTACGATCGAATTCATAAATCAATAAATAAGAAATATTTTGCTTTGATGGGAGAACTTCGAAATGCGTTGAATAGGTTGAGTTTTTATTGGTTTGCGTTAAAGTGAATATATAGGAATGAAATTATAGGTTTTTTCGATTGAGTATTGTAACATTCTGGAAAAGCATCGCTGAAATCTTCACTTTTGGATCTTGAGGAATGGAGACTTTCGTTCGATTTGCTTGTATTTCAATTTGCTTCTTATAGAAGACTGAAAAGGAAAATAATCGTGAGGAATTTGTGAGTGTTTCAGATGAGTTTCCATATGAAGCTAATGATTGTATTATATTCGACGAACAAGAACGGTTAAATTCGATGACGAGTGAAGTTTTTCTGACAAAAATGAGACGGATGATGTATTGATAATGAAATGTTAATTCCAATGTAAGTGAAGATCGACAATTGTCGTAATCGATGAGAGAATTCTATCGATTTCGTGCTTGATTTCATTTGTCTAGGAGAGAATTGATCATTTAGCTTAGGGAAATGAAATTGTCCTACGATGTGTTTTTGATAATCAAAATTTCGACGAGTTAGCGTTGATTCAAGATCATATTGATCTAAAATATCGAATCAACTTAATTTTCACCAAAAAGCATGTACCTGTTAAAGAGAAATCAGCGATTTCGTGTAGATCAGCTTAAAGAACTTGCGTACGTCGTTGCAGCGATCCATTGACACTCTAAAACTCCAATGAAAATCTCGACATCTTTCATAAAAAAAAAACTTACAGTATGAACATTCGAGAATCAGCGTTGCAATCCGATGAGTATCTTCACAGAAGAATCGATTAGCACTTGCTTGAAAAGCAGAAGATAATTGAAGACATTTATTCAATGTATTGATCTATGAAGAAAAGAGTTCAAAGAAAAGAAAATCAGTCGGTTATTTACCGAAGTTTTTTTGTGTTAATTCGTTTGTAGATTCAGTCAGCATGGAGAGTATTGAGAATTGATGTTGAATGTTAGTCAATATGGTTAATGATAGATTAGTGATTGATATTATCATTTGTGCACGAACATCTGCGTGTTCGTTTAAGATTTTCAATATGAAATTGAAATTATTCAAATTCTATGAGATATCAAATCAAGGAAAAAGAAGTTTTTCAATAGAAAGTTTACTTTTTGTGAGAGATCATTCTTGGGTGACGTCATTGTCACTTTGTCTAAAATACAACTCGAATTACAATGTTAACGGAATATTCTTCACGAACTTGATATTGTATCGCGATGAATTTCTTTAAAGAATTATGAGATGGACATCGCTATTTGTCCCATTGCATATTGATCAACTTTCGATAGTTCTCCTTGTAAAATATCGATTAACAAAGCGTTCGAATAAATTGAAACTAATGTCAGATCAAACTGAGTAACGCAATGAAATGTATCACGAATTTCAATCAGCAAACGAACATTCACAGGTGACCGAAGTGAAATAATCGAATCTCTTGAATATGAGTCAGTAAAACTCGTTTCGTTCGATCTGTCGTCCAACCTAAACAGAAATTGTCATTTTGGTCGAATCGATTCCACAATCTTAGTGTAAATTAGAAAATCGTCAATGCCATCTCCATCAAACCAATCCGTACAATGGGTCGTAAATAGAGTCGAAATTGTTTCATTTGTTGGCTCAATTGAACAGAATCCATTTCGTGGTTGATTGTTTAGTTCAACGTCGAATAATGTGCTGTGACTTATTTCAGATTCGAAGTGATAAAAGACTTTGCAACGCCAGTAAACACTTGTTACATAGTTTGTGAACAATTATTTCATTACTAAAAGACTCTTTCCGTTTAAACCTAAATAATCTTGTGAAAGAACGAGTCTTTCCTTCGAAATCATTTACCAAAGAATGAAGATGACGTAGAAGGATCGAACAAATTCCATTGGATTCTTTGATTTGTTAAATCCATTGTTCCTTGATAAATATTTCAGACGATCTTTTTGTTAGCTCGCGTGAACAATTCTTCCAACAGAATCAATGCAGCGATAGACTAGTATGGCGATTGACATACGTAATAAAATTCTCCTTTTGATAAACACATTGTTATGATGAAGCAACTGAAAGATACAGGAGAAATAATGAAAAGCTCCGAAATGAATGAGAATTGCTTGATGGTAATCGTAGATGACTAATGATTTTCAATTTCAACGATTAAATAATCAAAAGATCGAAGAGGTAAGTTTTCACGATAAGTCATATGGACCATGAATTGATAAATTGTGTTCAATTGCAGCGATTCACTGAAGATTGTGATCAAGGCTCAATTGATATTATTATAAATCAATCGGCGGAGTAAACAAGTTTGGTTTGGGCTATCGAATACTTGAAATTCTTGAAATTTATGGATTAAATCCAACAAAAATATTCGTAATACCAGTCCTACAATCAAGCGGCAAAACGACACTCCGATACTACAAGAATCCCTTTATTTATTGGTTTTTCAACAACCTATTTTATTCAATATCATATTCTGTTCAATTTCCAATGAAGTGTTGCATTTAAAAGAATGTTTTTCCACCGTTATACATCGAATCGAAGCAGGATATGACCTATCGATCTGGTCTAAATTAGTGTCCAATAAATCTTGTCGCAAGAATATGTCATTAGTCATGTTCCAAAGCGATTGAGTATGTAATTGAAGCGCTAATTTTGATTAAGAACGCGAATAATCTATTGAAACACTGCATTGATACCCGAGTAAGAAAATATTACGTGGGCATATGGAAGTATCGGAGTGCAAATGGTACTATCAATCCTTCGGTGAAACTTAAACATTTCTGTCGGTACTCTCATACTTCGCCGCATACTTCACATAGGCCTCCGATACATTGCGTTATTTATGAACACAAAGGGCTGCACTTCTTCACTTCAAGACTATTAGATCTCAAGTTACCGGTCTGCAGTTGGCTGTTTCCCCCATACCAGTATAGTATCTGATGGTTGTACGATCTGGTTATATAATGCTTCGACNGGAAATTTTTTTTTGCCGGCCCGCCGATGAAGATATCTATCAAAATTCACGAGAATCAATCCTTTTCCTAATCGATTATCATTCGCTGCTTAAGAAATCACATTGATGTGAAGCTAGTACCAAAAATGCAAAGCTCGATAAAAGTAGCACAAGACCGAATTCACGCCGTTAAAAAGCAGTGCATCCGATATAGGACTGAATTCTACATCGTATGGTAGGATTTTTAGTCACGGCAAAGCAGTCAAAAAAATATCATGTAGATTTTTTCCTTTATCCGCAAACGCACTGGATGATCTGGGTAAACTTTTTCTGCAATCGTTTTGCCGTGACTAAAAATTCTACCATACGATGTAGAATTCAGTCCTATATCGGATGCACTGCTTTTTAACGGCGTGAATTCGGTCTTGTGCTACTTTCATCGAGCTTTTCGTTTTTGGTGCTAGCTTCACATCGCTTTTAACCACAAGCGAGAATGAACCGCAAGTAATTAAAATTAAATCTTTGTCACCATCTACGGAAAATATGGACGCTCAAACAGGCGGCAAGAAATTGCTTAATCAAATAACTGTTCTGTGATTGTACATCAACTTAGCTGTTCAAATGAACTGGGAAACACAATCATTACCAACAAGTAACGCTCATCCTTTGGATTCGCTGACCCTTTTCTGAAAGACTTTTCCGAATGCTGAACACACTCAGAGACTTCAATAGAGAAAAAACGCACTGCGACTGCTACTAGTGCTCAACTGAATCATGGCACTATGTCACACACTAGAATGAATAGGATACAAAAGTCTTTTTAGGAATCAGACCGATTAGCCATTTGTCAGTGAATAATTCTCCAGCACTCACTATGTTGACTGAAAAATTCATCGCTCAACGGCTAGTCAGACGACCACTCACGGCCAACCATTGACCTTGTCATCTGTTTTTCTTTTTTCACATCACGCGCGTGGAAATTTTCATAAATGCTTTACTAAGTCACTCATAGACGGATGATATACAGTAGACCACTTGAAAAGTTTGAACATTCACTTGTGTCTTCCGGCGATAAACCGATTCTGTCCTCTCCTGTCAACGAAATGTTACCTTGTCGAATATTTTCATTGAGGAATATCCATTCGTCAAATCCCTTTCAAAAGCATCCGAAGCCTGGCAAGGTTATTCTAAGCGTACACTTTAGGATTAATCTAGCATTTAAACGTCTAGTTGTTCATCGACTTCCCTCCGGTCGGTCACTCACGGCTAGCCGTTGCCATGCTACCTCTGTTATTCCTTTCGCCTTCGATCGACTTTCAAACTGAACGATTGGGTTTTCTTTTATTGTCGCTTCGACAGTCATGATCTTCTATTCATTCGACAGTCATGATCTTCTATTCATTCGACTACCCAAAGAAACTAGATAAGAAAATCTTATTGTATGATTTGCTTCGAAACGAACATCTTTCATAGCGCTGCATGAGTTCAGAATACTGTCTCTACTGTCAACGCGTCTGTAGTTACTAAGATGGAAGTCCACCGACGGGTATATCACTTTGCGAACTGCTTCTACTAAATTCCCATANCTAGAACGCCGGATACCAACAAGGACGAATATCGTGAAGAAGCTTCGTATTTGAACAGTGGCTATCCATCTGAACATGAAACATACGTTCGTAAAGAAGCATATGCAGCTGGTTCGAAAACATTTTACATTGGATGCAATACTGATGATTTTATGACATTTTGTTTGAAAATTCAACGTTCGATTGGTAAAATCACTCTTTCTCATGCTGGACCAAATTCACTGTACAACAATTCGACAATTTGTTTTACTTTTGGTAAGACTGAACTTGACTTAGTTGCATTAGAATTCATTCGACTGAGTGCTGGTAAATGTGCAGTACCAATTCGGAATGTGATGATTTGTTTTGAGGAACAGTCTGATCTTCATCCAAAAGTTGACACAGATATTAGAAAATGTTCAAACATAGATGACGATCGATCTTGTAATAAACCTGCTAGACTGCAACAGAAGCAAAGTGAACCCTCGTCACCGTCTTCCTCCAGTGTTAAAGCTCAGCATGGAGTTGGATTTTCTAATCAAGTACAAAGTTCATCAAGGAATAGTAATTCTACATCTTTAATTCCATGTCGGGAAAATGTCAATTGTCTTCTTCAATTATCAAATGAAAAAGATCACAACTCGAAATTTTCTCACCCATGTCGATTTTCGGAGCTCTGTCGAAATCGAGAGGCAAACTTAACACATGAACCACATCAAGCACCGACATGTGTTATGGATAAGGACTGTTCACGTCTTATTGATCCACATCATCGAGCTCAGTATCGTCATACAGGTTTACCTGATTATCTTTTACCTTGTCGTCACCAACGGAAATGTGATGATACATCGGAGAAACATCGAATAAAATATTCACATGGAGAACAAGTTTATGAACTCTCCAGCTTAGGAGCTGGACGAGGTAAGTAAAAGAGATTACAAAGAGATATGTATGACTATTTCACTTAATAGCAGATTCTACTGATATAATTCCTTGCAAATGGGGTTCAAAATGTCGAGACATGGATAATCAGCAACACAGTAGAAAATATTCTCATCCCAAGCCTGTATCATCATCATCATCAAACAGCTCGAGTGTTGCCACAAGAAAATTTCACTAATCAAACCTCTTTACAAAACTGAAAAAAAAATCAATCGAGCGATTGTCAAACTCGATTGCTTATTGTTCTAAATAAAAACTACATCGAAATGATGCTGCTGATTTTCTTTCAAGTTTCTTCAATAAAATAGAAAAATCAAACAATAGACAGCGTGCATCTTACATGAAGCTTTGTCGAAATAAATAAAATAGTACAATTTGGGGTGGGTGAGAGTACCCACACCATCACTCGATTACAACACAATGAAAAACCAATCAGTAGCGAACTTTTTCTTCTATGAATTTCTCGTGCGACGAAAGAGCAAAAGTGGATTAAATGTTCAAAATTCACATTTTTTGTTAGTTTATGGTTATGACGTCGTAAAGCATTGTGTTTGATTATAATTTGCCAATGATCCAACCAGCAATCCATTCGATTGCCAGTTATTATCCGAGTCCAGATAAAAATAACTCGATTGTGATATAGTCGGATTTGATAATCCGAAGTAAATTTCCTCGGTTGATCGATTTTTGGATGCAATTTTTTCTCCGAACAATATTCGTTCGTTTCCTCCAACGTTAATTCACGAATTGTATAGACTATCGAATGATGATTGGATGTTTGCTGATTATCGAGAAAATGAGCATACATTTGATCAGGCGTTAAATTTGAGAAACACTAGAAAATCCAGTTTTGAACAGCATTTAATTGTGATTTACGATCAAATTCATAAATCAATAAATAAGAAATATTTGGCTTTCATGGAAGAACTTCGAAATGCGTTGAATAGGTTGAGTTTTTATTGGTTTGCGTTGAAGTGAATATATAGGAATGAAATTATAGGTTTTTTTGATTGAGTATTGTAAAATTCTGGAAAAGCATCGCTGAAATCTTCACATTTGGATCTTGAGGAATGGAGACTTTCGTTCGATTTGCTTGTATTTCAATTTGGTAATTATCGAAGACTGAGAAGGAAAATAATCGTGAGGAATTTGTGAGTGTTTCGGATGAGTTTCCGTATGAAGCTAATGATTGTATTATATTCGACGAACAAGAACGGTTAAATTCGATGACGAGTGAAGTTTTTCTGACAAAAAAGAGGCGGATGATGTATTGATAATGAAATGTTAATTCCAATGTAAGTGAAGATCGACAATTGACGTAATCGATGAGAGAATTCTATCGATTTCGTGCTTGATTTCATTTGTCTATAGGAGAGAATTGATCATTTAGCTTAGGGAAATGAAATTGTCCTACGATGTGTTTTTGATAATCAAAATTTCGACGAGTTAGCGTTGATTCAAGATCATGTTGATCTAAAATATCGAATCAACTTAATTTTCACCAAAAAGCATGTATCTGTTAAAGAGAAATCAGCGATTTCTTGTAGATCAAATTAAAGAACTTGCGCACGTTGTTGCAGCGATCCATTGACACTCTAAAACTCCAATGAAAATCTCGACATCCTTCATAAAAAAAAAACTTACAGTATGAACATTCGAGAATCAGCGTTGCAATCCGATGAGTATCTTCATAGAAGAATCGATTAGCACTTGCTTAAAAAGCAGAAGATAATTGAAGAAATTTATTCAATGTATTGATCTATGAAGAAAAGAGTTCAAAGGAAAGAAAATCAGTCGGTTATTTACCGAAGTTTTTTGTGTTAATTCGTTTGTAGATTCAGTCAGTATCGAGAGTATTGAGGATTGATGTTGAATGTTAGTCAATATGGTTAATGATAGATTAGTGATTGATATTATCAATTGTGTGCGAACATCTGCGTGTTCGTTTAAGATTTTCAACATGAAATTGAAATTATTCAAATTCTATGAGATATCAAATCAAGGAAAAAGAAGTTTTTCAATAGAAAGTTTACTTTTTGTGAGAGATCATTTTTGGGTGACGTCATTGTCACTTCATCTAAAATACAACTCGAATTACAATGTTAACGGAATATTCTTCACGGACTTGATATTGTATCGCGATGGATTTCTGTGAAGAATTATGAGATGGACATCGCTATTTGTCCCATTGCTTATTGATCAAATTTCGGTAGCTCTCCTTGTAAAATATCGATTAACAAAGCGTTCGAATAAATTGAAACTAATGTCAGATCAAACTGAGTAACGCAATGAAATGTATCACGAATTTCAACCAGCAAACGAACATTCACAGGTGATCGAAGTAAAATAATCGAATCTCTTGAATATGAGTCAGTAACACTCGTTTCGTTCGATCTGTCGTCCAACCTAAACAGAAATTTTCATTTTAGTCGAATCGATTCCACAATCTTATCGTAAATTCGAAAATCGTCAATGCCGTCTCCATCAAACCAATCCGTACAATGGGTCGTAAATAGAGTCAAAATTGTTTCATTTGTTGGCTCAATTGAACAGAATCCATTTCGTGGTTGATCGTTTAGTTCAACATCGAATGTGCTGTGACTTATTTCAGATTCGAAATGATAAACGACTTTGAAACGCCAGTAAATACTTGTTACATAGTTTGTGAACAATTATTTCATTACTAAAAGACTCTTTCCGTTTAAATCTAAATAATCTTGTGAAAGAACGAGTCTTTCCTTCGAAATCATTTATCAAAGAATGAAGATGACGTAGAAGGATCGAACAAATTCCATTGAATTCTTTGATTTGTTAAATTCATTGTTCCTCGATAAATATTTCAGATGATCTTTTTGTTAGCTCGCGTGAACAATTCTTCCAACACAATCAATGCAGCGATAGACTAGTATGGCGATTGACATACGTAATAAAATTCTCCTTTTGATAAACACATTGTTATAATGAAGCAACTGAAAGATACAGTAGAAATAATGAAAAACTCCGGAATGGATGAGAATTGCTTGATGGTAATCGTAGATGACTAATGATTTTCAATTTCAACGATTAAATAACCAAAAGGTCGAAGAGGTAAGTTTTCACGATAAGTCATATGGACCATGAATTGATAAATTGTGTTCAATTGCAGCGATTCACTGAAGATTGTGATCGAGCATCGATTGATATTATTATAAATCCATCGCTGGAGTAAACACGTTTGGTTTGTGTTATCGAATACTTGAATTTCTTGAAATTTGTCGATTAAATCCAACAAAAATATTCTTAATACCAGTCCTACAATCAAGCGGCAAAACGACATTCCGATACTACAAGAATCCCATTATTTATTGGTTTTTCAACAACCTATTTTATTCAATATCATATTCTGTTCAATTTCCAATGAAGTGTTGCATTTAAAAGAATGTTTTTCCACCGTCATACATCGAATCGAAGCAGGATATGACCTATCGATCTGGTCTAAATTAGTGTCCAATAAATTTCTTGTCGCAAGAATGTGTCATTAGTCATGTTCCAAAGCGATTGAGTATGTAATTGAAACGCTAATTTTGATTAAGAACGTGAATAATCTATTGAAACACTGCATTGATACCCGAGTAAGAAAATATTACGTGGGCATATGGAAGTATCGGAGTGCAAATGGTACTATCAATCCTTCGGTGACGCTTAAACATTTCTGTCGGTACTCTCATACTTCGCCGCATACTTCACATAGACCTCCGATACATTGAGTTATTTATGAACAAAATGGACCGCACTTCTTCACTTCAAGACTATTAGATCTCAAGTTACCGATCTGCAGTTGGATGTTTCCCCCATACCAGTATAGTATCTGATGGTTGTACGATCTGGTTATATAATGCTTCGACTAACTGTAAAAAAGAGTCAATTTACACTTGCTTTGCATAACATCTCTAAAATGTTTTCCGCATACAAAATACGTGTACTGCCCATCAGGAATGATATAAGCACAGCTGATAAACTATTGGATAACTCACGTTTTTCTTTGAGAATCACTCGTCCTCGGGCTCGACCTACCTGTTGAGAGGACTGGCCTGTGTAAGCAAATTTCAGAACCATTTGACATTTTTCGAACATAACCGTGTCTACAGTCAAACGGACACATACAACAGTTGTGTATAGAATTTTTATTGCTGGCATCATGCATCAATCGCAAGATCACTGCACTTTCGCTACATCCAATCAAAACTCAACAAGAACGTGAAGCGCGAACACTTCACAACAACAGATACACTACCTATCCTTATGATCTCTTCAAAAACCACCGATCAACTATTTTCCAATCATTTTATTGAGAAAAGAGTGTGAGTGTAAGCTTAATAGTTAAAAGAGTAATTTATGAACCAGCATGAGAGCATAAATGATAGACAAAACGAGTGGATTAAATTAAGACGCAGAAGATCTTTTTTACGACAGACGACATGATTCCTCGTAAAGTTTCAATAATGAAATAAAATTCCAACATTCCCTCCATTTCCCGTAATTATATCAACGTTTGCATCATTGTTAACATCATCAACCGCAACTGAGTTTGGAAATGCGCCAATTGAAAAGGTGATTTGAGGAGAAAATGTGCCACTGCCTGTATTGAGAAGAACGCTAACAGTGTTGGCACCCCGATTTGCTGTAATTATATCCACGTTCGCATCATTGTTAACATCACCAAGCGCAACAGATTGTGGTCTACTGCCAGTTGCATAGGTAGTTTGAGAGCGGAATGTTCCGTTGCCCATATTCAGGAGAACGCTCACTGTGTCTGCATTATAATTGGCTGTCATTATATCAGGTTTCCCATCACTGTTAACATCACCGATCACAACTGAGTATGAGCCATTGCCAGTTGCAAGGGCGATTTGAGGCCGAAATGTGCCGTTGCCTACATTGAGAAGAATGCTCACTGTGTTGTTACCATAATTTGCTGTAATTATATCGAGTTTCGCATCATTGTTAACATCAACGAGCGCAACTGATCGTGGATCACTGCTAGTCACATAGGTAGTTTGAGAGCGGAATGTTCCGTTGCCCATATTGAGGAGAACGCTAACAGTGTTGGCACCCCGATTTGCTGTAATTATATCAGGTTTCCCATCACTGTTAACATCACCGATCGCAACTGAGTATGAACCATTGCCAGTTGGAAATGTATTTTGAGAACTGAATGTGCCATTGCCTGTATTGATAAAAACACTAACTGTGTTTGCACCAGAATTTGCTGTAATTATATCGAGTTTGGCATCGTTGTTAACATCAGCAATCGCAACTGAGTATGGATATGCGCCAGTTGCAAAGGTGGTTTGAGGTGAAAATCCGCCATTGCCTGTATTGAGAAGAACACTAACTGTGTTTGCAGGGGAATTTGCCGTGACTATATCAGGTTTCCCATCACTGTTAACATCACCGATCGCAACTGATTGTGTATCACTGTCAGTTGCATAGGTATTTTGAGAGCGGAACGTGCCATTGCCTGTATTGAGAAGAACACTAACTGTAGCTACACCAGAATTAGCCGTAACTATATCATGTTTCGTATCATTGTTAACATCACCAATCGCAACGGAAAATGGACGTGCACCAGTTGCATAGGTAGTTTGAAAAACAAATGTGCCATTGCCTGTGTTGAGAAGAACACTAACTGTGCTTATATAATAGCTGGCCGTAATTATATCAGGTTTTGTATCATTGTTAACATCACCGATGGCAACTGAGTATGGAGACATACCAGTTTGGAAGGTGGTTTGAGGAGAAAATGTCCCGTTGCCTGTGTTGAAAAGAACACTAACTGTGACTGCACCAGAATTAGCTGTAATTATGTCAGGTTTCCCATCATTGTTAACATCACCAAGCGCAACTGAGTATGGATACGGACCAGTTGGAAATGTATTTTGAGGGCAGAATGTTCCGTTGCCCATATTCAGGAGAACGCTCACCGAGTTTCCAGCATAGTTCGCCGTAACTACGTCAGGTTTCGCATCATTGTTAACATCACCAAGCGCAACTGAGTATGGATACGCACCAGTTGGAAATGTATTTTGAGAGCGAAATGTTCCGTTGCCGATATTGAGGAGAACGCTCACTGAGTTTGAACCATAATTTGCTGTAATTATATCAGGTTTCGTATCATTGTTAACATCACTAAGCGCAACTGAGTATGGGCCACTGGCAGTTGGAAATGTATTTTGAGGGCGGAATGTTCCGTTGCCCATATTCAGGAGAACGCTCACCGAGTTTCCAACATAGTTCGCCGTAACTATATCAGGTTTCGCGTCGTTGTTGACATCGCCTATTGCAACTGAGTGTGGACTGGTGCCGGTTGTATAGTTAGTTTGAGAAGCAAATGTGCCATTTTCTGTATTTAGGAGAACGCTCACTGTGTTTGCACCATAATTTGCCGTAACTATGTCAGGTTTCGCATCACTATTGACATCCCCAATCGTAACGCAATTGGGTGAGGTGTCAGTTGCGAAAGTAAGAGATCCCGAATATAAGTTGTTGGATTCTATGAAGTACAGAGCGATAGAAACAGGCATGAAAAACTGATGAATGCACGACTATCATTGGAATTTTGGCTATTTTGAATTTCTCGTAGATTACGTGAGGAAACTTATTCACGGTAGGGCTAAGTCGAAGAGATTTTGATGCTAGACGGCTATTAATATAGGTACTAGGTTTGACAATTAATGCAGCAGTTCTACTTTCATCACTCGGTATTTTTGGTGAAGCACAAGAACATCTCTGAGCAGTTTGTTGCTCGTCAGTTTGAAATCGAGCCCAGCGACGGTTTTTTTTCCGTAGCTGTTGTGACTCATTTCAGGAAATTGAATGGAGTGAAAGATTTTGTGTGATTAGGGTGTCGCTTAGTCACCTCTTAGTTTAGATTTATCGAGAAGAATGTTGAAGATATGAATGACTGCGTTTTGGAATCAATTTTGTTTGGATTGATATTCTGAAGGAGAGATTTCGTAAGAAAAATAGAATATTGCTCAGATCATCATAGGATTTTCGAGCAAAGTAACAAAAACTAACGTTTACGTAAAAATGATAATTTGAATGTTAATGCAAGCTGTTTGTTTCAAATCAGCATATTTTTTATTAATGTTTTTATTATCGGTTTTTGGAAGTTTTTGAATAATAAGTGTTCTTTTAAGTATACCCATGTAAAAAACATAGTACATAAAAATCAACTAATTCATGATTATAATCGATTTATGCGATGAAAAAATTGATTATAATGTCGAGTTTTAGATTTTTTCAAATTAATTTTCTGATTTTAATCCATTTTTTCCTACAAATTATGAAAGTCCATTCAGTGTCATCGATTATCATCAATTACACTCCTCAGAATCTCATAAAATCAATTATTAGCTTGTTTCATCCACGAGAATCGATTTTTATCTTAATCGATTATTATCTCTTGTTTAGGAAATCATCGTTAAATCGAAGATATCCATCGGCGGGCCAGAGGGGGGGGAGGCAATTGCCCCACCCCCTGAAAAATTTTTGAAAGAGCAATAACTTTTTTCGCCTCAGAAAAAACGAATATCTGTGGTAATAATAACCGAAAAATTCTTTATTGCCCCCCCCCCCTGACATTTTTTTTGCCGGCCCGCCGATGAAGATATCTATCAAAATTCACGAGAATCAATCCTTTTCCTAATCGATTATCATTCGCTGCTTAAGAAATCACATTGATATGAACCTAGCACCAAAAACGAAAAGCTCGATAAAAGTAGCGTAAGAACGAATTCACGCCCTTAAAAAGCAGTGTATCCGATATAGGATTGAATTCTGCATCGTGTGGTAGGATTTTTAGTCACGGCAAAGCAGCCGAAAAAAATATCACGTAGATTTTTTCCTTTATCCGCATACGCACTGAATGATCTAGGTAAACTTTTTCCGCAATCGTTTTGCCGTGACTAAAAATCCTACCATACAATGTAGAATTCAATCCTATATCGGATGCACTGCTTTTTAAGGGCGTGAATTCGTTCTTGCGCTACTTTTATCGAGCTTTTCGTTTTTGGTGCTAGCTTCACGTCGATTTAAACCACAAGCGAGAATGAACCGCAAGTAATTAAAATTAAATCTTTGTCACCATTTACGAAAAATATGGACGTACAAACAAACGGTAAGAAATTGCTTAATCAAATAACTGTTCTTTGATTGTAGATCAATTTAACTGTTCAAATGAATTGGGAAACACAATCATTACCAACAATAAATCAAGAAGTGCATTGGAGTCAAAATATACTGTACGCCAGTTGGCAGAAAAACTGCTACCTTTTCTTATCTCACAACTTCTATGAATCGATGTGAAGTTAGCGCGACGAAGCCAGTATGAAAAAACAAAAATTGCGTATAATTTTCCATACGAATATGTTTCGTCCATAAAAATGAACTCCTTTCGTACAGAATTTGATTCTACGTCGAAATCGAAGGGTGATACTTTGATTTATGAGAGAAATTTTAGCAAAATTTTATCTGGACTTTTTTTCATTTTCTATGTATATCTCTTAAAGATTCAAGTAAAATTTTGCCAAAGTTTGTCTCATGGATAAAAGTATCGTCATTCGAAGCAGAATCAAATTCTGTATTAGATGAGTTCATTTTTGTGGATGGGACATATTTGTATGGAAACCTATACACAATTTTTTTTCTTGGGTACTGGCTTTGTCGTGTTAATTTCACATCGATATTAAAAGCCAAAGATAATCTAGCGTTTCCGATTATAATAGTTGTACATGATTATAATTGATTTTAAATGGGGAAAATCTATTAAAGGTGTATGCTTTAAATCGATTCTTAATCAACTATCGAATCGATTATAATCTGCTTTTTTCCCATTTTTTTACATGGATAGGATGCATAGCGGCCTTTGGTTGCATCGCCTGTAGTTAAGTTGTATTTCACAGTAATTACTTAAGCGCAAATTCTAATTAGATACTATGAGGAGAGATGGAAGAGATGATACAAAAATATTTTAAAATTAACAAAAGAGAAATCTTTGGCACTTTTTTCGAGAATTTAACTCGTTTCTTCCATTATCAACTACGCAGTATTAGACATAGTCTAATCGTATGTCATACAAATGAGCTACAATCAACCTACAGTAATAATAACTTCATTAGAGAAGACTATATGATGGTTATATCAACTGAAAGAAGATCTTATTAGCTTGGACATAAGGTTTGTCGAGAGATACCGTTATTGATACTCATAATATTGTCAAGCTCTATGATATCGAATTTGAAAAAAATAATTTTATGAAATTAAGTCATCGACTGACTACAATCCAGGCTCATCATTCCGATGACTGGATCCGTTCAAATTTCAGTCGATTTTGGTATAATTTCGGTCGGTTCCAGTCAAATTCAGCAGGTTTCGATCGGATTCGTCAAATTCTTTGCTGCCGGATTCCGATCGAAAGTTTAAAGGAAATTACTGAAAGCTTCGTTTGAACTTCCGGTCGGAAGCAACCGAGTAACAATGGCCTGGGTATGTGTTCTTCTCAAATCAACATGTCGTAAAACAAACACGTTTCAACTAAGATATTTCTGATGTTGAAAATATACTGCGAAATAAAAATAAGTAGCCATCCTACAAGTAATTACCGATCTCTAGTCTTAAATTTATTTTCGTACAGATTTTACCTACGTTACTTCTAATTGTGATTGATGTCAAAATTACCAATATGAAGGTGTTCATGTATTAGCGAAGAAATGACAATCAGAAATCAATGAGTTTTTATATAGCTAATTTATATTTGTATGAAAAAAGGATATATAACCAGGAATACAAGTCTTATCGAACACTTTCTTCAAATCTGGAACGAAATTTAATCTGAACCGTCTATAATGAGTACTTATTTCAATTGAAATTAAATCCTCAAATGCAAATCATTGTGACTCGGTCAGCTAAGTTCCCTTTCCAATGATTTCCTGGCCGTTTCCTCGAACTTTAAGTCGGAAACAGTCAAGAACTGGCGGGATATTTTCTGTAAACTTCCCACGGGGAACCCCCGGCAATGAATTTACCGAAGCTGGCTCATATTTCTACAGATCCAGTCGCCAGAACGATCGACCTGAGGAATCTCAAATGGCATTTAACCAATGACTAAAAACATTACTGAATAAAGACCACTTTACAGATGCCATCACTTAGTTTTCGAATTCTTGCGGTGGTGCGCTGTAAAATATTTTAGAGAAAGATCTGTAGCTGTGCTGAAAAGAGCTGATGATCATTACCTACAAGTAACGCGGCCTAGTAGCCGCTAAGCCCTCTACTGAAAGGATATTATCAGAGCGCTGATATTCGTCCAAAGAGAGAAAAAAGTTATTTCAATTGGACGATCTGATCATTTGATAATTTGTCAGAATGCTTTACGTGGGCCAATTTCGTTTCCTGGTACCTTCTGAAATTAACGCCTAATCGTTTGTCGGCTTCTCTCCGGTCGACCACTTACGGCGAGCCGTTGGTACCTAATAAGTGTTTAAAGATATTTTCATATTAAAAAGTACCTCGTTCTTGTTGAGCCCGCCTGTAGCAAAATTACCGGAGTTCTTCACAACTTTGTAACGTACAGTATGTCTCTTATCGTCATTTTAGTTGAATACATAGGGTAGTCAAAAAGTTTTGTCACTTTGGTATATCTGTTGAGGGAAACGATATTTTATCCATCTTTATACGCTATATAATCGAGATAGTTGTTGTGATATTTCATGGAAAGTTTCATTTCTTTAGCTCGTTCTTAAGGTGCTTTTTTAAATAAAATACGAGATTTTTTTTTCGCGCCTCTCGTCTCTGCATCCAGCTTCATTAGTGGAGCTTTTAAGCATTCGCCCTTATTTGAATAAAGTTAAAGCCAAACAGATTCTTAAAGGTCAATATTAAATGAGTACTCGTGGCAAACTTAAAATTGATTTTTCTCATAACGACTTATAAAAAATTAATGTTACATGATGCCACAAAAATGACATATTAGAGACTGATCCATAAAAGTGTAATTTTTGTTCGATAATCTCTATCTGTATGAATTCAAAGATTCTTCACTAGTATCATTAGTGTCACACAGTACCATAGAAACATCTACAAAGCGAAAAGTGGTTTAAATACGAAGAAAAGAGTAATATGTGCTGCGTTATTCCACAGGATTCGCCATGGATAGCATTAAGTGGAGTACTTTACATTTTTCTATACACTTTTTTAATGATTTGAAGTCAATACTGTGGTGATAAATCTAAGTCTGATAGCCGCTGAGAATATCACAGAAAATCGGCTCTCTTGATGTGTAGTTTCACTACGTTTTATGTGCTCGAAAATCAGTAAAATTTCGTCGACGACGAGAGGCGCGAAAAAAAATCTCGTATTTTATTTAAAAAAGCACCTTAAGAACGAGCTAAAGAAATGAAACTTTCCATGAAATATCACAACAGCTATCTCGATTATATAGCGTATAAAGATGGATAAAATATCATTTCTCTCAACAGATATACCAAAGTGACAAAACTTTTTGACTGCCCTGTGTAAATTGGCGATCTCCATAGTTTTTTCTCGAAGCTCGAAAAGACGTTATATATATACATACCTTCGAAAAATTATGGACACTATGCGATACTCTTATAAATCTCACTTTGAAACTAATTTTCAAAAGACATCTAGTCGTTCGTTGCCCTCGCATTGGTCAGCCACTCACGGCTAGCCGCTCCCATACGTACTCATTTTAACATCTTAACTTCATTCGGACGAAGACGTGTTCCAGAAATTAGCTCATTTCGGAAAATCAATTCATAACCGAAAACTTAGAAACTTCAGATTGGTATATGATTCTCTGGAAAAGATTTCAGTCCTTTCTTCACCACGAGGGACCTTAAATAGCTGCCAGCTATGTTCGTGCAGAGCAACGATTAAGTTCTGTCCAAGAAATCTTAAAACTACATGAAAATTACAAAATTTGTTCTTTAAAATATTATTGTGCAAATCGGTGACTGGTCGCCAGTCGGCCTCCCTCCGGTCGGCTAATCGCGGCTAGCCGTTACATGCATATTTTCTTCTATTCCTTCTAGAAAAGTCACCATCATTGTGCTACTGTAACTCTCGAAGACAACACTCGACAAACGAAACATTATTTTGAGTAACTGGCATCAGATTATATGCGCATAGTATAGCTGTTTATAAAAGTGTGCAATCTCATTAATATGCTGATAACTATGGAGATCCAGGAATCGGACGTAAGTCAGCTACTAGATTTTGACCTACATATTGCAGCTTAGAACACTATCGTCTAAAAAAATTGGTCCTTTTTTGCAAAAAAAAACGAGTCAGAAAGCGTTTATGAAAACACTAATCTCGAATTCGAGATCCTCGACCCCGATTACCCTTCGGTCAGCCCTTACTACTACTATCAACTATCGTTAGGTAATATTTGAAGACAAAATCAACGAACGAACAAAGGAACAGAAGGACGAACATCAGCTCGTTTTTTCGGTGATACCAGCTCGGCGCATAACCTACCTTTCAGTGGAGAGAATCATTTATGCAATTTTAAAAGTACATAGGGCACTCGAAAAGTTTCTTCCTCCACTTCTCTTAGCGTCTAATGAAATATTTCGATCGTTTCTTTTCAACGGTCAAACAATCTTATGAACAAGAGAAAAGTTTCAAATATTTATCTCGTCTGGTTCATTTCGTTTCGTCATTCCTTTCTGGTCACTTTCGTTCGTTTCGAAAATGATGGTCGAACTTTCGCGAGAGCAGTTTCGAACTATGATTTTATATGATTGGAAAACTGGTCTAACAAGCAAAGAAAGTCATGCCCGTTTGATTACAGCATGGGGTGATCAAGCTCCTTCGGATAGAACGGTTCGTACTTGGTTTCATGAATATCAACAAGGAAATCTCAAAGTAGAAGATCGTCCACGCTCTGGTCGACCGCGAACTGCCGTTACAGAAGAGATGATCGATGCTGTGCGTGCTATCATTGAAGAAGATCCACATTCGACCTACCAAGAGATACAGCACATCCTCGACATCAGTTCGGCATCAGTTAATTCAATTATTCATGATTATTTGGACTTACGCAAAGTTTGTGCTCGATGGGTGCCACATCAGCTCACTGATGCCCAGAAACAATTGCGCGTGGATTTCTGCCGTCAGACTCTGAAAAGATTTGAAGAGGGTCGATCTCGTCGTGTGTCTGACATTATCACGGGTGATGAAGCATGGTTTTACAATTTCGATCCAGAAACAAAACAACAATCAACCGTTTGGATCTCAAGAAACGAGCTGCGTCCAACGAAAGTTCGACGAAACAAAAGTTCCGGAAAACGAATGGTGGCAATTTTCTTTATGAAGACAGGTTTAATCAAACCAGTTGTCTTAGAATCCGGTCAAACAGCGAATGCCAACTGGTACGTGAACCGTTGCTTGCCAAAGGTCTTCGAAGCTGTCTCAGAACGAAGACCGAACATCGGTGTTCACAGTCTTATTCTTCACGACGATAATGCCAAACCTCATCGAGCTTGGATAACAAATGAATTTTTGTTCGAGAATCATGTTGAATCCTATCCAAATCCGCCTTATTCCCCGGACTTAAGTCCATGCGACTTCTTTCTGTTCCCGAAACTGAAAAATCAACTCCGTGGGATTCAATTTCACGACGACAATGAAATGCTTGTTGCATTAGATCAAGCTATCGGTAGCTTAACTCGGAATGACTTCCAAGACTGTTTTGCTGACTGGTTTGATCGAATGAAAAAGTGTATTGATGCTCAGGGACTATACTTTGAAAAAATAAATTGAAACTAGACTCGACATGTTTGCCTTAAAAGATTTTGGAAGAAACTTTCCGAGTGCCCCATGTAACAGTCTAGAATGTTTTTTATTTTTTCGTCCTTCCATGTATATTTGCATGGGAGGATAAAAAAAAAGACGACATTTCGTCCCAGCACATTTCCAGGAGGATATTCTAGGATGTCTTCTTTTTAAATACTTGCATATGGGCTTTTTGATGTGATGAGTTCGAAGTGATAAACGATCAAGAAGTTCAAATGCTTTCTTGAAAATACAGCAAAGAAAGTTACAAGTGTGGTAAAATTCTTGCTTCGCTCATCTTTTAAATTTTCTGCAAATTTCATTTAGAACTTCGAATTCATCATGAAAACTTGGAACTAGTTTTTTTACCTTAGTTGGTAACTATTTTTTTCTAGAAAATATTTTGAAACTAACATAATAGTAGTCTTTACTATATGTAGCAAACAATACTCGATGTAGTCAATTACATACCGGTAATTAGTGCTGCTGTTGATGTTGATGTTGATGATGAGGTTGATGATGATGTTGATGTTGATGATGAGGTTGATGATGATGTTGATGTTGATGATGAGGTTGATGATGATGTTGATGATGAGGTTGAGGTTGATGATGATGTTGATGTTGATGATGAGGTTGATGATGAGGTTGATGATGAGGTTGATGATGATGTTGATGATGAGGTTGATGATGAGGTTGGGATGGGTGACGACGATGAAGATGATGAGATTGAGATGGGTGACGACGATGAAGATGATGTTGTCATAAGCTCTATTTTGTGAAAATTTAATCAATCGGATGAGAGAAATCAAATAGTAAGGAATATCCAAAACTTGTTTACTCTATCTGCCCAGGTCAACAAATCCGATCGGATTCCTGGAAACGGAATTGCATTGGAATCCAACTAGAAAAATCCCGTCGGCTGTTGCAAATTTTATGAGCGATCTTTTTAGCTATGTTCTATGATGACCCTTAGAAAATCTAGGAAATCCATCTTTCGGATCCGTCGAATTCCTGTAGGATCTGATGGGATCCGAGTATGGGATTGTTCGACCTGGGTGCCTAAGATGTGCTTTAACCCCTAGTCGGCTATAGTAATACCATAAATATTTGTCAAGCTATTCTCCTTCTATGTATGCTAAGTTTACACGAGTTGTGAGTATAAACTATTTCTGTGTGTTATAATATTTTGCATCTCGAAAAGATGACATGGATAGCAGCTAGCGGGTTGATAAATTTCCTTTGCTCACAATCTCATCTTCATCTTCGTGTCGGTTCATGCATGGTCTTAGCAGATTCACTCATTCTCATGTTTCCCAGTGTTGAGAACGCTGAAAGCTACACATGGAAACAGGCAGGATTATTTAGAGCCCTCAATAAGGTGAAGATCAATAATTAACTATTAGGTCACCAGAGATTGACGAGAACATATCATTTACCATACTTATACACTTGACTATACCCGATATCATATGATTATACATGTATTTTCCGAGAATGGGTGCCCTTTATTTCAATTTTTTTTAATTCTCAAAAAACTAACATCAGAATCGAGTTGTTCGACCCAAAAGCCCGTCGATCAAATTTTTAAAAGAAATTTTGTCGTAAAAAAGTGGTCCTTTGTTTGAAAAGAATTTTTTATAAAAAATTCGAAGAACTATAACATCAGATTAGAAGTCTCTGCATCGAAGTACCTTTGAAAATGTGTTTCCCGGGAAAAAAACGATTTTCGATGTTTTTCTGACCCTGCGGACATGCAAGCAAGCAGACAATTAATGTTTACTGAACTTTTCTCTATGAGAAAGAGAATAGAACTTCTGGCTCATAAATTTTGTCATGTATTGAATAGATGCTTACCAGGTGGTATCCGTGTGCCAGGAATAACCATCATAGTAACGGTATCTGCAGTTGCTTCTAAACTGCTGTTTTGATTTATATCACTATTAAACAATTGACAATANTTTGACCCTGCGGACATGCAAGCAAGCAGACAATTAATGTTTACTGAACTCTTCTCTCCGAGAAAGAGAGCAGAACTTCTGACTCATAAATTTTGTCATATATTGAATAGATGCTTACCAGGTGGTATCCGTGTGCCAGGAATAACCATCATAGTAACGGTATCTGCAGTTGCTTCTAAACTGCTGTTTTGATTTATATCACTATTAAACAATTGACAATACGAAGTCGAGTGATGAAAACTAATAGCTTCACATTGAGTTTGTCGTAAACAACTGGTTTGACACTGAAGAATACTGGATGCAGTAAACGTAGCATACGGTAAACAAGTTATTGTGGCACAATGCAATTTCCATCCATCCGCAATGGTCATTTGAATTGAAATAGTATTTTGTGTAAAGGCTAGATCAAAAATAGTCATCGACAACAATGCAAATATCTTTGTCCAAGTCATAGTTTTCATCACACTCCAACTTGTTTGAGCAAATAAATAGTGCGCAGTTTAAAATGAAAATAAAACCATATACTAGTCATAAATGTCCTTTTTTCTCTCTTTCGCTTCATGTACGTTCTTTTTTTTTCACTTCGTCAATGAACTAAAGAAACTGTAGTCAGGCTTTTTCTGCTCTTGTTCATTAACAAATAGCTGTGTGTTCTGCAAATAGCAGTTTCAAACAATCCAAGTGTAAAAAAGGCTTTTACCTTAACTGATGCAATGTGGGTGAAGTCCCATGTCTTGTTATGACTGAATGCTCAATGAAAGAGAGAGAGTGAAGCAACAGCAAAATCTTGCACATTTAGAAGATTAAATTGAATAAAAAGAAACAGACAGCCATACTGATCAATACAAAACAGTATCTCTTATTGCAAGATGAGTGTTTTATGTTTCAGACGCACAAACACCACTATGTTAAATAATGATGATTATTCTGTAAACAATGTTTTGTTAAATTGATTACTACCGTCCCTTTTGTCAACTCTATCTTGTCAACGTTGTTTTGAGTTGCAGTATTGATATTTAGTATAATTGTAGAACAAGAGTTCTGATATTATTCATTTTCCTTCTCGATGATTAAGTGGTGAAAACTGAAAACTGTCGTTTCATCGATTCCTAAAATAAAATTTTGTTTTTTTAATTTCTATATACTTTATGCAGATATTTCTGGAAACTTATATATAGCTGTTGTCTGTTATCATTCTACTTTATGTAGCCTACTTCGAATTGGCACTTTTTTGTATATTTAAAATAACATCGGATTTAATATGTTCGATGATTCCACTGAATCGTATTCTTACTAAACCTAGTGGATCTAAAGACGAACAATGCAGTAGTGGAATGCTAAGGAAGACGATAGGTGGCTTTTCGATGTCATTTTACTTTAATCAATATGTACAAAAAAAAGAGACAATAGATCTTCATTTTTCTCTGACACTTTCATCATTGTAGTAATGAAGACATAGTGTTTTATGTTAGAGAAAAAGAAAGCCGTTATGATCAGTGGAAGTGCGAAAGAACGTTTCTCTTTTTCTTGCAGTTTCCGATGTACTAATAATATTATAAAAATACAATATCATAAAAGGTAGTTGTCATTCCGGTTATTATTATTATTACTGGAGAATGGTTTGAACGCAAGAGCATGTCTTTTGTGAACAAAGTTTTGTTTATGTAGAAACAAAACAGAATATTTTAAAATTATTTTTCTCTTTGAATCCTTGTTTAACAAATTTGATAGTATTCTGAAAATGCTTGGAAAGAAAAAGAATGAGTGGGATACATATCTTTTTACTTCTGTGTTTTTTCACTTTCAACGGCAGCCAATTTATCGCCATATCGATTATTTCATTTTTTTTCTCTTTCAAGAGCTCATCCTCTTTGCTGTTGATGAAATGCATTGATATAGTTCGTTCGTTTTCCTCTTTCGACAAAAGTGCAATTCTGCATAATTGAACATTTCAGTTAAGAGAGTACCCACAAGAGCATGAAAGATCCGAGGTACTGGTGAAATTCTTTTTCGACTTTCTTCGTGCGTTCGAAAGATCATGTTTAAAAACTATTACACCGAAAATTTCGGCTCATTGAGATTAATCATAGAAAACTTAGTCTTGAATGACTTTTTTTTCTGGTAAGAAGTTTTTATTTTAAAATTAGGCGAATATTATGCAATTAGTACGTATACAAAAAGTTTTTCATCGGATTATTGAAATTTTATTCACGATATATCAAAAGATGGAACGTGAAACGCTGAACAAAATTTTATATTTCAGAGTCGCAGAATCATCTTTTGCCTAGAAAAATCTAAGCTAACAATTATAAAAAGCGCCCTAGTTTTGTGCCAGTTTTCGGATAACTTTTTACAATAACTCTGCTTTTATCATTCGGGAACGTACGGGATCTAGCCGAATTTTTGAAATGTTGTAGCTTTCGAAGGTGCACAGAACGGTAAAACAGAAGCCCAAAACAAAGTTAACCTTTGAGGCAAATCAAGGCTCACAATACTGTAAAAAGTGATAATTTTCCATATATTTGACGTAATAGTCAAACTGTACCAGGTGATTTCATTATCTAAACTAGTTTTACGAGCAAAACGAAGGTTATATTCGAAACCAGTGCAAGAAACTGAGCAGTAATTATCGCTTTCCTTTGATCCTTTGGCGCCGGGTTTTTTTTTTTGTTTTGAAAAAATATTTAGAACAGCTTTTATTGTTCTATAGAAGCATTTAGAAATGCTTCAGAGTATGATAATCTTCAAAACGACCTATTGCACAAAGCTCTATGTTAGAAGCATCACACTGATAACGTGTATCGATGCGTTTCTTCTCTCGTCTGCTCGTATTACTACAAACTATACAAGATCTTCGTGCAATGTTTCCTGTTGCTGTCGGCGAAACTAAAGATAGAAAATGACGTGCTGTAAGACGTATGAGATTATCTCCAATGTAGTCGGACGGCTAGTTGGATTTTTGAGCTGAGCATGTCTTTCAATCAGTTGTCGAATCAATTCATTCCAAAAATCGCCAAACTGAATAATTGTTTTATACTTGACTTTGAATAGTATATATGCGTCCAATGTTAATATATTCAGAAGGTGAAAAAAAACGTTTCTTGTACCACTCGACGGTTTCTCGAACGATTCTACAAAACTGATTTGCATGTCAGTTTTATCAATTGAGCCCATATTTTCGTTGTAATAAATGATACACACCGGATTTTCAATCACTTTTCGTNGATGACAAAGCTGAAACCGCTCAGCTGTGCATAATTCAACATCATAGTCTGTGCGCTAAAATATTACATATATATTCGTAGTGTTCTTTAACATTACACTGTGTTAGGATATATGTTATCTGGACATTTCCATGTCCTTTTCTTTCATTCTCTGCTTTCATTCGTTCTTTCTTGTCGTCCTTTCTATATGACGGTTGATATATGTATAGATGGGATTTATCCTATATCTTGTTGTGTGTTGGTTTTTTCCTTGGTGGTTCAATATATATAGGCTCGGCTTTCCGGAGGGAGACGGGAGGGCAAGCGAGCGACATTCTAATTGGTGCACTGGCCAAATCATCAAGACGTGAACGACTCACCTCACACTGAACAACTGATCACACCTGATGGCTCATCAATACCCTACACGCTCCAAAAGTGCGTCGAATCAGAGAAGTCAACCATCTGTAGTCATGTCGTCGAACAATCAACATGATAATCTCTCGTTAACGGCCAGTTCTTCCACAAAAACGGAAAATTCTTCACATGATTTTGTACAGGAATTTGATTTACATTCTCGTCCAGAACAAGAATCACAAAAAGCAAGTATTATACCAAAACAATCACCATCAATTCAGTCTTTACGACAATCATCGATACGGTTTCCACCAGAAGATGAACAACTTTTACAAAACGAAACCAATCGAGTTAATACGATTTCGATTCCTCAGCTATTAAGCGAAGATACTAATATTCGAGCAAGTGCATTGAATTCAATAAATACCCCACGACAATTGGTTACCAATAACTCCGCTATTCCATCAATCCAATATGTTATCAACATTGATCCATTGCAACAAATGAAAGAATTTGTGAAGTCTTTCTCAGGAAATCCTGAAGATGATGCGAACAAATGGCTTGCTAGCATAAATCATTTCTTCGACATTATTCGTTTACCTGGTGATAAGGATGAACTGTGTCTTCAATACGCTCCAGCATTTTTGAAAACGAATGCATACCGATGGTGGACAGAAACTAAATCATTTGTTGATAATTGGTCGTGCTTTAAGCAATTGTTCATCGAACAATTTGGTGAAAAGAATGAATATCTATTGGAGGAGCAAATGAATCAACGAAAACAACTCCCGAACGAACCCGTCATGAAATATTATTATGATATGGTGGAACTATGCAACAAATGTGACCCAACGATGTCGGACAAACAAAAGGTTCGTAAACTTATTTTAGGACTACGATTATCCTTGTATCAAGAAGCGATTAAGAACGAATATTCAACACCAAAAGAATTTTTGAATAAAGTTCAACAATTGGAAAATATACAGAAGCTGATGGAAATACGTCAAGTTTCAAAGGACCAAGGCTCTTACACATCTTCTCATCATTATTACGATTACCAACCGGTATATGATTCGTACAATTATTATCCGGCTAGTGAACAACCAAGTTCATTCGATTCTCATTATCAGTATCAAAATAATAATTCTCCGCCAGTTCCATCGAATACAAATTTTCAACAATTCCAAAATTCGAGATCATCAGCACGATCGAACAAATCTACAAATATGAAAGATATTCAATGTTATCAGTGTCGAGGATGGGGACATTATGCTCGCACATGTCCACAGAAGAATAATACAATGTCATCATCATATATTTCTCAGCAACAAAAAAACCAATAACGGAGATGTTGGATGGTGACATCTCTGTATCAATACCAAACCCATCATCATTAACTTTCATTTCAAGCTACGTAAATAATATCCATTTAACATGTCTTCTTGATACAGGTGCAACAAATTCTTTTATCCATGAATCAATTGTTCGTCGTCTTCGTCATATTTCTATTACAAGAATAAAACAACGTTTCACTTTAGCAGATGGCAATACCGACATCAACATTACTGGTATTGCACACATCAACTTGAACATTAATCACATTACCACGCCTATATCCGTCTTCATCTCAAAATCCTTGTCTCAACCTTGTATTTTGGGACAAGATTGGTTACGAAAATATTCGGTGGATATTTGTCAGTCAACACAACGAGTGATAATTCGTACTGCTGAATCATGGGTCACAATTCCAATGGATCAGAAAATCAATCAACATCAGTTTCCTCTTAAGTCAACCATAGCAATTATTATTCCACCGCAACATGAGCGAATTGTTGAACTACGATCACCAGTTTCGTCATCTCCTCACATCATCTTTCATCCGAACCAAAACCTTCAATCAAAAAGTCTTATCGCCATACCAAATGCACTTCTATCAATTGATAATCATCGAACTTATACAACAGTCATTAATCCTACTAATAAAATATGTCGCATCCCAATCAATACTACGATTGGTACATTTACGATTCCACCAGTGGATATCGAATGTCATAGTATACATCCGTCATCGACAATTAATTCAACAACACCTAAACATTCACCACCATCAAATCTTAGCAATTCGCTATCAATGGAAAAAGTTTTCAGTGATTTACTGGATCATTTACCAGATTCTGAGGAGAAAGATATTTTACGTGAGTTACTCGTCCGGCATCAGTGTGTGTTCGATACACCGGTGCCTACAATCGCCAATCTTACAGCTCCACCGATGATCAACACCGGTTCTCATCTTCCTGTGCATTCGCGTATCTACCGCACCGATCCAATCAAGCAAAAACATCTCACGGAAACCATCAACGATATGTTGAAGTATGGTCAAATTGAAAAATCGTATGCTAGCTGGTCTTCACCGGTCATCTTGGTAAAGAAAAAAGATGGTAGTTATCGCTTTGTAATTGACTATCGTTCATTGAATAATATCACAGAGCGGGATTGCTATCCGCTACCACGTATAGATGATACACTAAATCGGTTAAACGGCAACAATTATTTTACGAAGATGGACTTAAAATCTGGATATCATCAGATCCGCATTCATCCAGATGACAAAGACAAAACAACTTTCATCACAACACATGGAACATTTCGTTTTAATGTGATGCCTCAAGGATTAACAAACTCTCCAGCGAATTTCCAACGTTTGATGTATGAACTACTAGTCAATTCGCGATGGGATTACACATTGGTATATCTTGACGATGTGATCATTTTCTCTCGTACTTTTTGTGATCATATTCGACACTTAGATGAGATTTTATCAATCCTAACAACAGCTCAACTTCAATTAAATCCTCAGAAATGTTCATTTGTCAAATCTGAGATTGATTATCTAGGACACACTATCAATGGTCAAGGTATACGTCCATTACAAGCAAATATCGATGCAATCTTACAAATTCCAATTCCGAACACACCGAAACAAGTTCACTCTTTCGTACAATCAGCTAATTACTACCGCGATCATATAGAAAATTTTTCTAAATTAGCAGCACCATTATTTCCGTATACAAAGAAAAATGCTGTTTGGAAGGGTTGGACTCCTGCAATGAACAACGCTTTTATCGAATTGAAGGAACGACTCACAAAACCACCAATATTCTTGAATTTTCCAGAAGATGATGGACAATTCATTTTATCAACAGATGCTTCTGGGGAAGGAATGGGTGGTGTATTGCGTCAGAAAACATCTCAAGGGCTAAAAGTCATCAAGTATGTTTCGAAGAAATTTAACCGGGCTCAAAGGAACTATTCAACCACAGAACGTGAATGTTTAGCGTTAGTTTGGTGCATCCAGAAATTGAAAGAATACCTGTGGGGCCGATCGATCGAGATCGAAACCGATCACTGTCCGCTTTGTAGTTTTAATAGGAAGAAATTTAATAATTCACGCATCGATCGATGGCAAGTGGAATTATCAGAATATCACATCACGAAAATTACTTACAAACGTGGTCAATGTAATTGTGATGCTGATCTATTATCTCGATTTCCGTATGAAGAAGGTGACATTGACGACGATGTACATTCTCGTCATACTCGTGTGGTTGCTCCAACATTGAGTACAACACTGTTAGATCCGTTTTAACTTAAATGATGTTTATTGTAAAACAGAAATAGTTACACAACTGAACGCCCTTCTACCAAAACATATCAAGTTTATATAGAGTTACTAGACTTAGAAAATACCAACGATACAGGGAAACAAAAGTGACGTAAGGAACGCAAGAGCACATATGATGAACATATGACATGACGTCATGTAGAACGAAATAAACATATATATGTGCAGAACGCAAGAAGATATGTAGGACAATTCCTTATGATACTAGCTTGGTAATTGCCCATGACAAACACCTCAAGGAACACAATTGAATGTCATCACTCGATCAAAGTCAAAAGCGATGCAACAATCTCCAAAGTTAGTAACGCAATCAACATCTACTTCTCTATCTCCTGACAATCTCAATAAAAATCAACACCCAATCGTGGATATGAATATTGATCGTATTCGAATTGAGCAAACGAAAGATATTACAATATCTGATCGAATGAAATCTGTTCTAATACAACCTGATCACTATCCGCATGAAGTGGTCGACGATGGAGTTTTATACAAGAGAATTCACCGAACTGGTGGCTCGGTAGTGCAAGTACCATGGTTGCCAACATCTTTGATCTCCGATGTTCTATATTTATATCATGACCACCCAATGAGTGGTCACTTGGGTATAACTCGAACATTTCACAAAGTTCGAGAGCAATTCTTTTTTCCTCGGATGTATGAGCATATCAAGAAATATATTCGTTCATGTACTGCTTGCACACAATTCAATGTACAACGACAGAAACCACCTGGACTTCTCCAATGTGAACCACCTCCTGATGGAGTTTTTGAAATAATGCAAATGGACTTTTGGAAGGCACCGGTCCGTTCATCAGCTGGAAATTTATATGTGCTAATTATTACTGATCGCTTATCCAAATTTGTGTTTGCTCGTGCTGTTCCATCAGCCACTGGTGCAGCTGCAGCTGAAATGTTATTAGAAGATATTATTCTCAAACATGGTTCTATTCGTTATCTTCAATCGGATCAGGGAACCCATTTTCGCAACGAACTTTTATCAGCAATTACAAATCTTACTGGTTGTCAACAAGTATTTTCAATTCCATACCATCCAATGTCCAATGGGCAGGTGGAGAGATTTAATTCGACGTTCTGTGGCCAATTAAAAAAGTACTGTCGTGACAATTTAACTGAATGGGATAATTATTTATCGGCTGTTGTATGGGCTTACAACTCTACAATTCATGCGACCACTCGATTTATTCCATATGAATTAGCATTCAATCGACGTCCGTTAACTCCGTTCGTATCTACACCACCGGTGGTACGTCTAATGAAGTCACATGATTATTGGGAGAAAGCCACTCGTTTCAAATCAATTGCTATTCAATCTGCCAGATCGAATATTCAACGACAACAGAATACTAGCAAAACACGATATGATCAAGGCCGTCGAAATCCCACATATGAACCTGGTGATCTAGTTTGGTTAAAACAAATCAACAATCGAACAAAATTCGATGTACGATACCATGGACCTTTCGTTATTTTGGAACGCGACACACCAGTCAAATATCTTATCGAACATTCGGAAATGGGATATCGTCAATGGGAACATCTCAACAACCTTATTCCATTCTATGATCGTGATTAAACGCAGTATGTTAACCGTTATTAATTCATCCCCGTCGCTACTACTCTAGTCATCGGGTTATTTTCGATAGAGATAGGTGAAATCATTGTTTACAGGTGGCAGTTATGGTTTCTAGATATTATGGTCATGGTTATACAATTTTCCATATCAATGACCAATGATCATCGAAGTTGGACGAATACGTGACCTCTTTCTTTCTACTTGATATCTTTCTGTATATTTTTCTTCTCATTCGTTTTTATGATCATTTTATTATATTTCAGTTTTATTTTTCACTTGGAGAATTTTGTCGATGAGCAGATGTTGCGCTCATCTGACGTAAGGAAGGAGGTGTTAGGATATATGTTATCTGGACATTTCCATGTCCTTTTCTTTCATTCTCTGCTTTCATTCGTTCTTTCTTGTCGTCCTTTCTATATGACGGTTGATATATGTATAGATGGGATTTATCNTCCAAAAATCGCCAAACTGAATAATTGTTTTATACTTGACTTTGAATAGTATATATGCGTCCAATGTTAATATATTCAGAAGGTGAAAAAAAACGTTTCTTGTACCACTCGACGGTTTCTCGAACGATTCTACAAAACTGATTTGCATGTCAGTTTTATCAATTGAGCCCATATTTTCGTTGTAATAAATGATACACACCGGATTTTCAATCACTTTTCGTGTTGATATCATCCTTAGTTTATGAATTGTAGACAATATAACGACTTTTCGTTCATCTTGCCATTTCAAAATCATTAGAGTGTTGATGTTGTCATAGTCAAAATCACCCTTTGTCAATTTACTAAACTTGACTAGACCGAGGCAGCTTTCAGATAATGTAGTTTTTCAAATAGACAAGGGATTGCATACCGGTTATCGATAAAAAGTGAATATCCTTCGTTCAAATGCGGTTCCATCAAAATGATTATTACAGAACCAGATTTTCCTAAGTTTCGATCTAGCTTGACATCCGTAGAAGATCCAGTGTACACAATAAAACCCAACACTACTCCTGTTTGTCAGCCACAGATGACGCTTAGTTGGTATATATTGTCTGAAGATTAGACGGCCCTTCTAAAAAACAACTGATTCGTCTATACAAAAAACTTTTGTATGGTTTTATTTTATGCAATCTATCACCATCCACTTGATTTGAGCTATCGTTGAAATGCAAGTATTTTAAAAGCATAGGAAATATGTCTCTGGAAAATATTTGTTCAAACATAGGTGTGGCCATCATTGGATCAGTTGACCAGTAGTCATGAATCTCATTCTTGTTGGTTACAGATATCAACATGATTGTAGAAAGAGAACTACATGTCCGAGCGATTTGACGGTATCCACTTTGCTTAATGCGAAGCTATACCATGTGTCATATCATTGATAGAAAACACCTGGTACTTGTTCGTTTTTTCAACAATTACATTAATTAATTCTTCGTCAAACATTAATTAAAAAAAAAATCAAGTAGACATCACTCTTTATAGTGATTGCGTTTGATGAAATTCCAGCGTCTTATTCGTCGAAGCGGAAGAGATGCGGCTCGAAAACAGTCTTACTCCAGTTCCGATTTACAGATTGTTCTTTTGGTACTATAGTTCATCTTCTGAGTCTTTACTATCCACCTGGATTTATGAGAATCATTATTTGTAAGCGTTATCATATTCAGCAAAAAAGCTTATAAGAGAGAACGCATTGAGAGCGAAAAGGAAAAATAGTACATCAGAATACACTAGAACTAGGTGGATGCGAGAAGTAGGCGTGTCAGAACGCAAGAGAGAGGAAACACAATACACACATAGCTATACGAAATGATGACACAATAATGTTGCCAAGATAGGAAAACAAGAGAGAAATCTTTTAGATGACGCCTAAATAATATTATAATCACGATGATATGTGTAAAGCTTCAACACGCATATACGTGTGTTCCGACCCCAAAGAGTTAATTGAGACCATATCTCTCCTTCAGTCGACGGTTCACTCCAACCATATGAAATGATTTGATAGAGTTTATTTGAGTTGTCCACTGCTGCAAGAAAAATGAATAACGTTCAAAGTATGTATCCACAAAGCTGAATTAGCTGCAGCTCTTTGCTTTTTAAACTTTACTCAAACCACATATGTACTAGATTATTTGCGTTTAAGAATGGCATCCAAAACTTCGATCCTCTGAAAAAATAAACCGCTCTCGAATCATAGCGAAGTGCGGGCATAGAAGCATGCGAAGAAGTTGTTTTCTACATCAAAAAGAATTCGAATTACAACTTATAATTTAGAAAATCAATCAGTATTTCATCGAATGGTTGTCTACTTCTTGAAAAGCATGAATGACATTCTTCATAGTTGCTCGAAAACATACTTTAACACGTTATGCATGAGCGTTCATTTGTGTAATTAGTTGTCATAAAAAATGATGCATTTGTGATGTTTCGATCCGATCGTTATAGGCAACAACGGTTTCATCCGCATAATTAACGAGTGTTGGAAAGTCCGATTGTGATTGACAGTCCTCAAACAATGCCTTTTTGTTTATCATGTCGAGAACGTAATCAGCTCAAGTGATGATCAATTGCTTCTTCCATTGAACTGCATACCCAGAATACCTGCCCATTCTGCTGTCAGTGTCTCGCATTTGTATATATGTTCAAGTATTGAGTAAGACACTAATAGATTTTGACGAATGCCATAACGGAAAAAGATAGAAGTAATTGCGCATATTTGTTTGCGTTCTTGAGACGAATGTTTCAACGTAGCTACTGATTTCCTTATCTAATGTCAAGACAGAAAAATATTTCTCAGTCGATAGCGATCGATGGTGTGAACACCGTGATACAGTTTTTCCAATTCCGTATGACGGCAATGTTATAAAGGAATTTGTTGAATTCTTCGGTAATAAGGCTCCTTGAGGTAATGCCGATCGAAAGATGACATCTACTTGGTACTCATCAGCAATCTCTTTTGCAAAGTGATTTCGTTCACCATTGAGATCGCGTGATACCCATTAAAATCCACAAGGAATCAACATAAACACGCACATGATTTGTAATTTTGAATCGAAATTTGCCCTTTTAGCTCGATTTCCTTATCTGTTCCCATAGCGCATTTAGTTATCAGCTAATCTAGGACGGACTAATGCGCTGATTGATACAACCGGTTGCATTTGAATTACTTCTAAAACGGCATCAAAGCAGAAAATAATCCACATGTGGACGAACAATTCTTTTCTTTTCCTAGAATTATCGAAGCAAGGCTTTTGTTACAGATGTTGACCATACGATAGGATTTTTTTCCATTGACATGTACAGGGTATCTACCGATGGAAGAAGCCCTCCACTAAAAATCTCATCGGTTACGAGCCTCAGATAAATAAGTGCACATTTAGACGATAAAAAAAGGAAAAAAAATGAATACGAGCGATAGTATCGTTAAAGATAAGTTAGAACAAACATAAAAATAGGATGCATTTTTAGTGCAAATGAGGTACCTGATGAGCCTTGGCTGAAAAATTTCTTTGTCATAATCGAACTTTTGTTGCATCGCTGCGCATATTTGATATCAACATAAAAAAGAAACGAGAATTAATTAGACCAGGAATAAATGACCTTTTTCTATATAATAATAAATATAAGGAGCGAATGCATTCAGTGCACTGCTCAGTTTTATCCATCTCACACAGCATAAAAACAAGAGAAACAAGCAGTATAGATGTCAAATAGCACCAGCTATGCAGAAAGATTGGGACAAATTGGTCTTGATATTGCATTATATATCGATGCAATGACTTTTATCTTTGGAATAATCGGTTGTATCGGTAATCTACTTGTATTCACCGGTCGACGGCTACGTAAATCTTCAGCTACGACCTATTTACTCTGCACTGCATTATCTCAACTGACTACTATTCTCGTTTGTATTCAACTGCGTGTCTTTTACGATCGTTCGGGAAGTAACCTACAAAACCGATCAGCTGCATTTTGCAAATTTCGGTATTATGTTGCGATAGCATTACCTGCACTCGCATCTAATTACATGATGTTAGCAGCTTTTGATCGGTATTTATCGACATCCGATAATGGCAGAATACGAGCATGGAATCAAACTAAAGTGGTGAATCGATTGGCAATAGGAACACTAGTAATTACGCTTTTAATGGCAATACATATACCTATCCTCTTTGGTATTTTTCGAAACGTTTGTCAAATTCAACCAGAAAGTGTCTATACATATATTTACGGAGGATATTTGATCATTGTTGTAATACTTACTCCACATACCTTAATGTTTATCTTTTCTGTGCTGACGATATTTGCTTTGAGAAAATCACGTCGACGTGTGGCTCCGGCAATCAAAGACAATCGTGTGTCAAATCGTCAAAGAACGCTCGAGTTGAAGCTCATTCAGGTATGATCATTTTCTCCCTGAACGAGTATACATTTGAAAAATTTTAGATTATCGTCATACAGGTGTTCGTCAGCATAGTGTCTTCAAGCTTGCGTTTCGGTTCGGCTAGTTATCGCGCCATTGTTTTTGTCATCATTCCTCCGACAGCTGATCAAAAAGCTGCACAAGCATTCGCCGAAAGAGTTGGCGGTTCTTTGTACTTTTTCAATTATGCGACATCATTCTATACCTCAATGATCATAAGCCAATTCTTTCGTCAAACTTTTTACGAAAGAATTCATTTTTTCTATCGTCGATATATTGGACAAGTTTTGCAAAGAAATTCATCTCACTAGATATTGCAATAAGTTCTTCTTTTCATTTATTTAATCTTTTAAATTCAATAAATGAATCTCGCCAGCCTATGGTAACTAAAGTGTCAATTGAGTTTTATTTTATCTAAATAAACGATGAGACTAAGAAAACTGAACACAGGTCATTTCTCATAACCGTATCAAATAGTTGCATCACATTCTGCACACATATATGATTCTGAAGAATTATAGTCAGCATTAGGAAAACAATTCGGCGCATTACACGACGTACATTGTTTGTGTTGATACAATTGTTGACATCCAGAACATCGCACAGTATTTCCTTCATTGTAATCACAAGTGGAGAAATAGTTTGTCGAGCTGCAATGTGGACACTGCAAATGTTGGTATTTTTGATTGCACTGATTACATGTCACAATCTGTCCGTGGCCATACACATATTTTGCCGTACTGCACTGCCACGAGTTCATAGAATTACAATGAAAACATTTGACATATTGTGATGTTATATCACACGACGAACATTTATCACGAGATCCATAACTATACTCTTGTTTGAAGTACTCAGCATTGCCACAATTAGAGCAGTTCAGATGGTAGAATGATTGTTTACACGAATAGCAATTAGTTAATAGATTCTGCTGATATCCATTTGAGGAGTAATNTCCAAAAATCGCCAAACTGAATAATTGTTTTATACTTGACTTTGAATAGTATATATGCGTCCAATGTTAATATATTCAGAAGGTGAAAAAAAACGTTTCTTGTACCACTCGACGGTTTCTCGAACGATTCTACAAAACTGATTTGCATGTCAGTTTTATCAATTGAGCCCATATTTTCGTTGTAATAAATGATACACACCGGATTTTCAATCACTTTTCGTATTGATATCATCCTTAGTTTATGAATTGTAGACAATATAACGACTTTTCGTTCATCTTGCCATTTCAAAATCATTAGGGTGTTACTGTTGTCATAGTCAAAATCACCCTTTGTCAATTTACTGAACTTGACTAGACCAAAGCAGTTTTCAGATAATGTAGTTTTTCAAATTGTTAGGATATATGTTATCTAGACATTTCCATGTCCTTTTCTTTCATTCTCTGCTTTCATTCGTTCTTTCTTGTCGTCCTTTCTATATGAGGGTTGATATATGTATAGATGGGATTTATCCTATATCTTGTTGTGTGTTGGTTTTTTCCTTGGTGGTTCAATATATATAGGCTCGGCTTTCCGGAGGGAGACACAGGGGCAAGCGAGCGACATTCTAAGTCAAATAGACAAGGGATTGCATACCGGTTATCGATAAAAAGTGAATATCCTTCGTTCAAATGCGGTTCCATCAAAGTGATTATTACAGAACCAGATTTTCCTAAGTTTTGATCTAGCTTGACTTCCGTAGAAGATCCAGTGTACACAATAAAACCCAACACTACTCCTGTTTGTCAGCCACAGATGACATTTAGTTGGTATATATTGTCTGAAGATTAGACGGCCCTTCTACAAAACAACTGATTCGTCTATACAAAAATCTTTTGTATGGTTTTATTTTATGCAATCTATCACCAACCACCTGATTCGAGCTATCGTTGAAATGCAAGTATTTTAAAAGCATAGGAAATCTGTCTCTGGAAAATATTTGTTCAAACATAGGTGTGGCCATCATTGGATCAGTTGACCAGTAGTCATGAATCTCATTCTTGTTGGTTACAGATATTAGTATGATTGTAGAAAGAAAACTACATGTCCGAGCGATTTGACAGTATCCACTTTGCTTAATGCGAAGCTATATCATGTGTCATATCATTAGTAGAAAGCACCTGGTACTTATTCGTTTTTTCAACAATTACATCAATTAATTCTTCGTCAAACATTAATTCGAAAAAATCAAGTGGACATCACTCTTCATAGTGATTGCGTTTGATGAAATTCCAACGTCTTATTCGTCGAAACGGAAGAGATGCGGCTCGAAAGCAGTCTTACTCCAGTTCCGAGTTACAGATTGTTCTTTTGGTAATAGTTCACCTTCTGATTCTTTACTATCTATCTGGATTTCATGAGGATCATTGTTTGTAAGCGTTGCCATATTCAGCAAAAAAGCTTGTAAGAGAGAACGCATTGAGAACGAAAAGGAAAAATAGTACATCGAAATACACTAGAATTAGGTGGATGTGAGAAGTAGACGTGTCAGAACGTAAGAGAGAGGAAACACAATACAAACATAGCTATACGAAACGATGATACAATAATGTTACCAAGATAAGAAAACAAGAGAGAAATATTTTCGATGACGCCTAAAATAATATTATAATCATGATAATATGTGTAAAGCTTCAACACGCACAAACGCGTGCTCTGACGCCAAAGAGTTAATTGAGAGAATATCTGTCCTTCTGTCGACGGCTCACTTCAACCATATGAAATGATCTGATAAAGTTTATTTGGGTTGTCCACTACTGCAAGAAAAATGAATAACATTCAAAGTATGTATCCACGACGCTGGATTAGCTGCAGGTCTTTGCTTTTTAAACTTTATTTAAGCTACATATGTATTAGATTATTTCTGTTTAAGAATGTCATCCGACCTTCCGTGAATGAGTTTTCCAAAACTTCGATCCTCTGAAAAATAAACCGTTCTCGAATCGTAGCGAAGTGCGGGCATAGAAGTGTGTGAAGAATTTGTTTTCTACGTCAAAAAGAATTCGAATTACAACTTGAAATTTAGAAAATCAATCAGTATTTCATCGAATTGTCGTCCGCTTCTTGAAAAGCGTGAATGTCATCATTCTTCATAGTTGTTCGAAAACGTACTTTAACACGTTGTGCATGAGTGTTCATTTGTATAATCTGTTGTCATAAAAAAATGAAGCATTCATGATATTTCGATCCGACCGTTATAGTCAGCAATGGTTTCATCCGCATAATTAATTAACGAGTGTTCGAAAGTCCGGTAGTGATTGACAGCCCTAAACAATGCCTTTTTGTTTATCATGTCGAGAAGGTAATCAGCTCAAGTGAAGATCAATTGCTTCTTCCATTGAATTCCATACCCAGAATACTTGCCCATTCTGCTGACAGTGTATCGCATTTGTATATATGTTCAAGTATTGAGTAAGACATTAATAGATTTTGACGAATGCTATAACGAAAGAAGATAGAAGTCATTTCGTATATTTGTTTGCTAACGATTCACTTTGATTTTGTTTTTGTTCTTGAGACGAATGTTTTCACATAGCTACTGATTTCCTTATCTAATGTCAGGATAGAAAAATATTTCTCAGTCGATAGCGATCGATGATGTGAGCACCGTGTTACAATTTTTCCAGTTCCGTATGATGACAATGTTATAAAGGAATTTGCTGAATTGTTCGGTAATAAGATTCCTTGAGGTAATACTGATCGAAAGATGACATCTACTTGGTACTCATCAACAATCTCTTTTGCAAAGTGACTTCGTTCACCATCGAGATCGTTATACCTATTGAAATCAACAAGGAATCAGAGGAATCAACGTAAGCACGCACATGTTTTGTAATTTTGAACCAAAATTTGCTCTATTAACTTGATTTCCTTATCTGTTCCATAGCGTGTTTAGTTATCAGCTGATCTGGGACGGACTAATGCGCTGTTTGATACAATCGGTTGCATTTGAATTACTTCTAAAACAGCATCAAAGCAAATAATAATCCACATGTAGATGAACAATTCTTTTCTTTTCCTAGAATTATCGAAGCAAGGCTTTTGTTACAGATGTTGACCATACGATAGGATTTTTTCCATCGATGTATACAGGGTATCTACCGACAGGAGAAGCTCTCCACTAAAAATTTCATTGGCTGTGAGCCTCTGATAAATAAGCACACATCTAGACGATAAAAAGGAAAAAATGATTACGAACGATAGTATCGTCAACAGTAGAACAAAAGATATAAAAATATGATACATTTTAGTGCAAATGAGGTAGCTAATGAACCTTGGTTGATCAATTTCTTTGCCATAATCGAGCTTTTGTTGCATCGCTGCGCATATTTGTTAATGAGCAACTCCTTTTTATCATTTTTTGCGAGATTTAATGTCAACATAAAAAAGGAATGAGAATTAATTAGGCCAGAAATAAATGATCTTTTTCTATATAATAATAAATATAAGGAGCGGATGCATTCAGTGCATTGCTAAGTTTTATCCATCTCACACATCATAAAAACAAGAGAAACAAGCAGTATAAATGTCAAATAGCACCACCTATGCAGAAAGATTGGGACAAATTGGTCTTGATATTGCATTATATATCGATATAATCACTTTTATCTTTGGAATAACCGGTTGTATCGGTAATCTACTAGTATTCACCAGTCGACGGCTACGTAAATCTTCAGCTGCGACATATTTACTCTGTACTGCATTATCTCAACTGATTACTATTCTCGTTTGTATTCAACTTCGTGTGTTTTATGATCGTTCAGGAAGTAACCTACAAAACCAATCAGCTGTATTTTGCAAATTTCGGTATTATGTTGCGATAGCATTACCTGCACTCGCATCTAATTACATGATGTTAGCAGCTTTTGATCGGTATATATCGACATCCGACAATGCCAGAATACGAGCATGGAATCAAACTAAAGTGGTGAATCGATTGGCAATAGGAACATTAGTAATTACGCTTTTAATGTCAATACATATACCTATTCTCTTTAGTATTTTTCGAAACTTTTGTCAAATCCAACCAGAAAGTGTTTATACATATATTTACGGAGGATATTTGATCATTGTTGTAATACTTACTCCACATATCTTAATGTTTATATTTTCTGTGCTGACGATATTTGCTTTGAGAAAATCACGTCAACGTGTGGCTCCGGCAATCAAAGATAATCGCGTGTCAAATCGTCAAAGAACGCTCGAGTTGAAACTCATTCAGGTATGATCATTTTCTCCCTGAATGAATATAAATTTGAAAACTTTTAGATTATTGTCATACAGGTGTTCGTCAGCGTAGTGTCTTCAAGCTTGCGTTTTGGTTCGGCTAGTTATCGCACCATTATCTTCGTCATCATTCCTCCGACAGTGAATGCAAAAGCTGCGCAAGCATTCGCCGAAAGAGTTGGTAGTTCTTTGTACTTTTTAAATTATGCGACGTCATTCTATACATCAATGATCATAAGCCAATACTTTCGTAAAACTTTCTACGAAAGAATTCGTTTTTTCTATCGTCGATATATTGGACAAGTTTTGCAAAGAAACTCATCTCATTAAATATTGCAATAAGTTCTTCTGTTTATTTATTTAATCTTTTAATTTCAATAAACGATGAGAATAAGAAAATTGAACACAGGTCATTTCTCACAATAGTATCAAATAGTTGCATCACATTCTGCACACATATATGATTCCGAAGAATTATAGTCAGCATTAGGAAAATAATTCGGCGCATTACACGACGTACATTGTTTGTGTTGATACAATTGTTGACATCCAGGACATCGCACAGTATTTCCTTCATTGTAATCACAAGTGGAGAAATAATTTGTCGAGCTGCAATGTGGACACTGCAAATGTTGGTATTTTTGATTGCACTGATTACATGTCACAATCCGTCCGTGGCCATACACATATTTTGCCGTACTGCACTGCCACGAGTTCATAGAATTACAATGAAAACATTTGACATACTGTGATGTTACATCACACGACGAGCATTTATCACGAGATCCATATCTATACTCTTGTTTGAAGTACTCAGCATTGCCACAATTAGAGCAGTTCAGATGGTAGAATGATTGTTTACACGAATAGCAATTAGTTAATAGATTCTGCTGATATCCATTTGAGGAGTAATAATATAGTGCTTTGGAACAATAAGGACAATTGATTAATTGANAACATTTGACATATTGTGATGTTATATCACACGACGAACATTTATCACGAGATCCATAACTATACTCTTGTTTGAAGTACTCAGCATTGCCACAATTAGAGCAGTTCAGATGGTAGAATGATTGTTTACACGAATAGCAATTAGTTAATAGATTCTGCTGATATCCATTTGAGGAGTAATAATATAGTGCTTTGGAACAATAAGGACAATTGATTAATTGATATGTTTGTTTGCAATGAAGACAAGTAGTTCGATTACCTTGGCGGTAAGAACCTGTTGAAAAAAATTCAATCCCTTCGCAATGAGGACATTGCGTCATTTGAAAAGGCTTGTTACAGTTGAAACAAGTTCGCCGTTGTCCATGATGATAGTTTGCATCCTTCCAAAGATTGCTTGTCGAGCAGTTCGGACAGGCAACACGTTGAAAGTTCTTTTTACATGACCAGCAGTTCGTCGCTTGTCCTTGTTTGTAATCGCCACCTTGCCACCAATTCGTTATTTTACAATGAGGGCAATTGATTTGTTGAAACTTTTTCGAGCAAGAACCACAGTTTACAATAGTCCCTTGCTCGTACTCCGACTTCAACCACTTGATAGGAACGGAACAATGAAAGCAATTCACACACTGAAAGGTCTTTTTACATGACCAACACGACGTCCGAGTGCCGAGAAGATAATCTGCATTCTTCCAAGAACAGAGTTTGTTGCAATGTGGACAAGTAATCTTCTGAAATACTTTCTTGCAAGATGCGCAGGTGAAGCGTTTGCCTTCATGGTAACCAAGCGATGGGAAAAGATTGAGTTTTCTGCAATGACTGCAGCTCACTTTTTGAAAATCTTTTTTGCAGTTCGCACATGTCACCCGAGAGCCTTCGATATGATCAGCATTCCGCCAAACATTTTCTGACGAACAATGAGAGCAAACCATGGTTTGAAATGTTTTCTTACAAGTACAACAGCTAACTGTGCTTCCTTCAATATAATCAGCATCGGGACAGTAGTTGGACTGATTACAATGAGGGCAGTTCAGTTGTTGAAATGATTTCTGACAATTAACGCATTCGATACAATTGCTTGTGGTATAATCTTGAGGATTTTTCCAATAGTTTGCGCCTTGGCAATGAGGACATGTTACTTGCTTAAAAGTAGTCTTGCATGAATAGCATCGGGATGTAGATCCTTGTTTATACTGAGAAAAAGTATTGGCTTCGCGGCAATGTGGACAAATCAACGTCTTTGTTGGTTCAGCTAAATAATAAAATACATACATTTTTCACAAAAGTGGAAAGGAGCGTGGGTGTTTCAAATGCTCAGCGAACAGGCAAATGTTAGAATCTTTGATGAAATAGTAATTATCTTGATTTCTGCTGAGTACTTACAGTTATCTTGTACAATTTCCTTTGCTTCTGATCGCTTGATTGACGGTAATACAGCTTTTGGATTCGATACTGGCGGTACTTTCGATTTGATCACAGATGGATTTTCCGCTTGTGCTGATGCTTGTATGGCAGGAAGTATTGCGAGATTATTTTTGACATTCGGATTTTTCTTCTCTTTAAGTTCAATAATATCAAGTCCAGAACGATGTAGAATACTTTTAACAATCAGTTTCGTTCCGGGCATAAGAATAATTTCTTGCTCATTGGGTATAGCACTGTGTTCCACTACTGACTTTCCATAAAGACAATCGATTGTAAAAAGTGTACTGTGCGTCGTACTAGACAAGAAGCGTTCTACTACTTCGAGCTCAGTCGAAGTCGATGACGCGCCTGCCCAAACGAATTGAGTACCTTTTGTATATTGACTGCTAGCATTTTCTTTAATGCCTCGCCAGACGCGTCGTTTTTTCGAGGGTAATTTGTTTAAAGCCGTATGAAAAAGTTTCAGATACAGAAACCACGGTTTTATCTTCTCTACTGCATTTTTTCGCAACGCTTTNCTAGACAAGAAGCGTTCTACTACTTCGAGCTCAGTCGAAGTCGATGACGCGCCTGCCCAAACGAATTGAGTACCTTTTGTATATTGACTGCTAGCATTTTCTTTAATGCCTCGCCAGACGCGTCGTTTTTTCGAGGGTAATTTGTTTAAAGCCGTATGAAAAAGTTTCAGATACAGAAACCACGGTTTTATCTTCTCTACTGCATTTTTTCGCAACGCTTTGTTCATTTTATAGTAAAATTCTGTGTCCATCGTGTATAGATATATAGAAGCTGATTCATCTTGAGTAAGCTTGTTTGCTGGTGATTGACATGCAAGTTTAGCCGTAGCGACATAGGCAAGCACGTTATTGACAATATGGGATACTGGAATCACGGCTTCGTCCAGCGAAACGAGTTGACAGAGAAGATAATCATCAATAGTCTGCTTTGTGTTCAAGGATTCGAAGTGAGAGAAACGAGCAGTCATTCAGCCTATTTGGTAATACTTTTTTTTAATCTTTTGTAAAGTTGTATTTGTGACCACTAACACTCTGAATCAAAAATGATTTTCATTTTAGACGAAAGTTTTGCAATAAGTTGGTAAAAACTTTCGTTTTATTGATCTGTGATAAGATTTGACGAAGTAAGAAAATGTGTTGCTAGTGTATGAGATTTTTGCTACTGTCATGTCGTATATCATTTTATGACGCACATTTTTTATTCCTTATCAGTGGCTAATCTTTTCTTTTACAAAACGTTTTCTTGATGAAAGATTCTAACAAGTATGAATTATTCTCTTGCTTACGTTAGTCGTACTTCGATTACTGAAAAATAATACACAGAAACGTGAACAGTTGCTCTCTACAAGATTTGACTCAAGATTTTTGACACTGATAAACATAATTGCTAAGATATTAGACGAGCACTGGTCGTTGTTCTGAGTTGAGCTGTAAACTTCTTGCTCTATTTGAGTTGAAGAGCGACAAGTGTTTCGTTTTTACGTATCGTTTCAGGGATCGTTATGATGTTGATAAACTTTCATTTCTATTTCACTCAAACGATTGTTTTTTACCATCAATAATCAGCTTTCAAAATGTATCTGTCTTATCTAAAGTTGCTTTTGAATGGTAAATTACTCTGGTCACTTCTGATGACAATTCCTATCGCCATATAACACTATTAGCAATTCTTTTTTTCATTGAAATCGAGCTTAATTTATGGTGCGTAGATGATGTGACTGAATAACTTGTCCATTTGACGCAAATTCTCCATACTTTCTACCATTTAAATAAATGTGAAGAGTAAAAATGTGCATACATTATCGACATGCACTCTTCTTACAAAATATTAATTTTAAAAACAATTGGGACGATATTAGACAGTCTCGTGCAGCTCCGTAGAACATGCGAATACCCGGAGTTTTGAAATTTTACGTTGTACCATTTAGAAACACATCGGTCGATACTCTCATTCTTGCGATCACTACCTATATGATTAGAAGAAATAAAGCATGAAGGTAATGACAAAATGCATGGAAATGTCTGCATTTCATAAATACGTGTTTGTGCCGATAGTGTCAAGCTTTTATTCTATTTGTTTCTCCTCAAAATCGTATCAATTCAATACAAAGTGAGCATTTACATATGTGTACATTGGATAAGGGAAATAAGTGCAAAAGAAAAGAATCACAACATTCAGCATAGTCCAGTAACGTTGCGCAGTACCATCATTTGATAAATAAGGAAAGTTTAATCAAATACACACCTATTCTGACGATTATGATCATTCTTGAAATGCCTTTCGTAGTCATTCGAATCCACCATTCACTACGTATAATGATCGCGAAGATCAGTCACATAGTGATCAGAATATTCGATGTGTGTCTGATGATCAACTTATTTCTAAATACAATGATATCCATGATTCGCGTAGTTATGTATAAAACAATATTCCATANCAGTCAACAGTAGAATTGGTTGCATATACGCATGCGAAAGAAAAAGAAAATAGTTAACATCTTTTTATCTTTTTTCCAAGGTATATAAGTTAATGCAAGTAAAGGACAAACCAACATTTATTATTATTTTTATCTCACCAAGAGCAGGTAACTGAAAGCAATATAGACATACGACACAGGAAGATTGCGATGTTGTTGTGCGAGAATATAGGTGAAGTTTTTGGAGTTCGTTTAAGTTTTGAGTTAGTAAGTTTAAGGCGCGATAGTGGATTATTTCATAGGAGTGTTTCTTATATGTTTTCAGGAAAAGATATTCTTTGCAGCGGTATGGGGTCGATACTTTTAATAGAGAAGTTATTCAACGTACGAAAATGTTAAGTTATCGTAGATTCCGTTTGCCAACGCTGACCTCAACATATGAATTGAGTAAATCATTTCAAAAATATGTATTGATGTCAAGCATTAATAGTATTTCATCGTTTTTAACCTTGTGTCAATGCTCACTGTAACGAGTGAATATTGTATATCTGACTTGACTACTTGAATCTTTTGTTTTGTCTGGCGATATGATAGTTGAGTCAAAACGAAAATATTCTATATTTTAGAGAATACAATGAGTGAGTGTGACATATGTGAATTTACGTTGCGTAGCGGAGACGCAATGATAAGCAGCCCATGTGGCCATACATTTCATCGTCAGTGTGTTGCAGATCGATGGAAGAAAAACGGAAGAGAAAATTGCAGAAAGTGTGGCAAATACTGGAATGTAAAAGCTGCTCTTGATAATGAAGTAAGTATTTTAACGAAAAAAGTTTAGTTATTCCAATAAAAGTAGGGAGAAGCGATTGTTTATGTAAATTCAGAAGCTTTTGTTATTTTATCTCTATTAGCATACGCGGTAAGATATCTTATTCTTCGTTCTCTAAAACTGTAGTCCTTTCTAAGACGTCTATCCATATAACACGTACCTGGCGTATACGTACCAAGGGGGAAAAGCGAAAAGTCGGTACTCCAGTATACTCCGCGTACTCCCTTGATGAATTGTAAGTATCCTTGAGATTTTTCTCAGTATTTTCAACTCCACCAATGATCAGTATTACAATACACCAGCTGGAATACAATTCAACTAAGATCACCGAAAAGGAAGGGCTAAATACTTCAGAATACTCCACTTTCGAAGTATCATGGAGTATTTGTGCCTTCCTGTTCCGTGATCTTAGTTGCATTGTACTCCAGCTGGCGCATTGGGATACTGGTCATTGGCGGAGTTGAAAACACTGAGAAAAATCTCAAGGATACTTACAATTCATCAAGGGAGTACGCGAAGTATACTGGAGTACCGACTTTTCGCTTTTTCCCCCTTGATACGTACACATCGTCTATCTCCGACTGCGAGAAATATTGTAGAAATATTAAGAGTTTTCACTCAAGAGAAGTTGACAACCTGCCGATTACGATTTTTAGAAGGGGAAAGGCGGATCTACTGCTGCAGCAGTTTTAAATAACAACAATTATACCGCTGGTGACGGTAATACAAAAGAACCTTCTAAAGCAAAAACTGGGTCTACTCGGGAGAGTTCCCGTTCGTCTTCATCGTCATCAAGTGGACAAACATCAACAACAGGGACAGCGTCTTACACGGGCGGGGACGAACATGGTGCAAAATCAACGGAGAAAGACTCAGAAGGTAAATGCAAATAATATGCTGAGTCATGTATGAAATAATGTGAATAATAACATCAGCTATGAGCTTTACAAATGAAATAAAGAGAAATAATCGTTTAGATCACCGAAACAAGTATTCAGTATATATTCCAGAAATACCATTTACTATTAAAGATCCGCAGGACTTTGAGAACACTATTCGCCAATGGATTCCACCAAACGTAAAAGATTATGTGGAGAGCATTAAATGCTTTCTGAACTTTGGTTGCGCTATTGTTTATGTAACGAGTGAAGCAGCTAAACGTCAACTTGTTGAAAAAGTTCGAGAGATCAAATTATCATTAGAAGACGGTGAAATAACGATTTCGTTCAGCGATACTCTAGAAGTTGTCTCGTACGTCGTATTAAACAAGGACGATCATCGTACGAGTAGTCGATTGCCAACATCAGAAGAAGTAAGTCAAAAATGGGCTAATCATCTTAGTGTAGACGAACCACTATCGTGCTTTATGTTGGATGCGCAATTTCCCAACATTTATCATATTACATCCAACTTTTCGGATCGATTCTTCAACAGTACTGTTAAAAAGAAATTCTCTATCGATGATATATCAGCAAGAATATATTTTTCTGCTGATTGTAGCTATTTGAAAGATCTTCCAGAATCCAGCACCGATGAAACCTTAACAAAAACGATCGGAGATTGCATTCACGAGAGAAACGTTTCACCAGAATATCTTTACACACAAATAGATCAGCGCACACGCAGTGCATGTGTTATTGCTACTGGCGAAGCTCGCAAATGGACAGCACAATCATGTATTGATATTGATGGTAGAAAAATATCGAGGAGGAGTTTTAACTATCGCTTACTTATTGAACCGGTTTCGAAAAGTGACGTTGATCGTATTATCAATCATCAAGTGTTTAATGGAAAAGTGATAGATCATAAGTATGCTGACAAGAAACTGCTTGTAATTATTGAAGATAAATATGTTTTTGGCAAATGCTTACGATTAAAGAAACTAGAGATTGATGGCCAACGTTTTCGTATTAGCGAGAATGTTGCATCGCAAGAAATGGGCGATTGCGAAATCAATGCTCAAACATGGTACAAAACAAAAATGGCCGAAGTCAAACCGGACATTATGCAATTCCTAGACGATCCTCATCATTTCATTTTTAAGTGCCGATGGAATGCGAAGGCATGGCTTGAAGAGTTTCAAAATTCAGCATCTGCACCGCATCATGGTGACCGCAATCGCGGTGCTTCACGCTCCGAAAAGTCTGCGAAACCTGATCATACACGTCATCTACTTCGAATGACTGTCATGCTCGACACTTTTGCTGCCGTGAAGGAGAAACGTTATTTTATCGACGATCAGGAAGTAAAGTTGAAGCTAGATGATAAATTAACCACCATTATTTACAACCATCAATCCAAACTCGAACAATGCTCACAAATACCATACAAAAAAATTCAACATGATCGAACCAACATTCAAGTTCAGCAAGAGGACTGCCTTGCTGTGTATGAGAAACTAGTTGAGAAAGATTACCATCCCGTACTATTAAATATGGCTAATCAAACAACTCCTGGAGGTGGATATAAAAAAGGTGATGGCGCACAAGAAGAGAACATCTTCCGTCGATCCGATTACTTTCGCAGCCTAGATCTCGAATTAGATTCATATCATGATCAACGAGCTGAACGCTTTATCCGCACATCTGACTGTGAAAAAGAGGCTGTGGGTGATGAAAAGCGCATCTATCCAATGGATGAATTCGGTGCAATTTATACTTCAGGTCTCACCGTGTTTCGTCATTCAGAAGACAAAGGTTATGCTTACATGAAGAAACCATTGAC